TGACATGGAAATTTAGCATTTTATGTATTCCATGCAAAGACTTTGCCCATCTGTCAGCATGGTAAACCAATTTTACAAAACTTGCAAACTCGTATAAAGCAAGAATTCACCTGAATCTGGTGAACTGGGTAATTTTATTAACAAAAATTCACGAAATGGAAAATTATTAGAGATTATTGTAAAAGTTTGTAAACTTTGAAATTTCAAAAAGTTTAATTACAATTGGGGTGGATTGCTTTATTTTATTTTTATTTTTTAAGTACTGGTAAACTAATTTGTATTATTTTTTGAATATGTTTGAAACAATTCTAGTTATTTTTTTAACAAATCTTGACTTTACGTTTTTATGTAGATTTAGTTTTTTCCATTTTGCTAAATAATGTTATTTTTTGAAATTTATCTTGTTGCTTGTGTATAAATTTTCAACTTTTTGAGTTTCCTGACATCGTCATCTTATAAGTATTAAGTGAATCCGATAATAATTTAAAATCATAATCGGCATCTGATAAAGAAATTTTCTGCGCAAAAACCGTTTTGAAATTTTGTTACAAAAATCTACCTGCTTTTAACTGAAACAAATTAAACCCTTTGGATCAAAAACAAATCTGAAATAATCTGAATTATAATTTGAGGTTGAAAAATTCCGGAGAACATTAAAGTCGGCGTGAATAACGAACAAATTAAATTACAAGATTTTTAAAAACAATAAGCATTTTATTTATTTAAAAAATGTAAATGTATTTGCAAAAATTAAAATTCAAAAACAGCATCATTTTCACGAATATCAAAAATGGGATGTTTTCAAAAATCACATTTTTTAGATTTTTAATAATTTCAAATCTTTCAATGTATTTTGCTAATAAATAACAAATTTACTCTTCGTCAATTTTTAAAATTTTGAACCTAATAAATAACTCGAATAATGAACTTTTACACCAACAAAGGTTAATCTGGATTCCAAATTTACCACAGTAGCGGAAATGAATTTCAAAAAGTGTAACGTAAATCGACAAATATTTGAAATTTATATTTCCATTAATTTCGTATATATTTTTTCGTACCAATTTTTCCAGATGGACATGCGGCGTCAATTGCTTTTAGTCGTCATTCAAGGAGAGAAAATACAGACACCTTAACATAAATTTTTACTGCCTACACGATAAAAATTATTAAAATGACATCTAAATCTAGCATTTTATTTATTTTAAGAATTTCATGTAAACAAGGGATTGTTGTAATTTTTTTGATAGAGAAGTGGTTAAGATTCCTTCTCTATCTTTACATTTTGACTAGACAAATATCCAAGTAAAACAAATTCATGCATGTAATTGTAATTAAACTTTGTGAACTTATAAAGTTTAACACAATTTCGTCGGGCTCTAGTGAACTATGTAATTTTGTAAAATTCTTTCATGAAGTAGAAAATTTTGAGAAATTATTTTTAAAACTTTATAGTTTCACAAAGTCTACTTACAATTGGCGTGAATTGCTTATAGACGGGACTTGGAAAGAAATTAAGTGTACCTTAAAATAAATTTTCACCACCTGTACGATCAAAATTTATCAAAATGGCATCGAACGTAGCATTTTTTTCAAAAATTACTTCAGAATTTTAAGAAAATAAATGTATGACAAGTTATTGTTATTTAAAAAAATTTTGAACTTTGTAACTTCACAAAGTTTAATTATAATTGAATGCGGAAATTGCTTTTACTCGACTTTTTTCAATTCCAAACGTATATGCGTTTAAAGACCTAAAAACCTCAATACAAATGTTCCTGCTATCTACACGATCAAAAATTTATCAAAATGATATCAAATTTTAGCCTTCTATTTATTTAATGAATTTCAAGTAAATACATTTATGAGTTATTAACGAGTTATCAAATTTTTTAAACTTCGTAATTTCACAAAGTTCAAATACAATTGAATACGTGAATTTTTCTAGTCGAATATTTGTCATACGCCTATCAAAAACCTAAATAAAATTTTTTGCTATATACGTAGTCAAAATTTATCAAAATAACATCGAAATTTAGCATTTTGTTTATTTAAGGTTCCCATGGATGACGTGTTGGCGCGTAATCTCACTCTGCCCCTACCCAATGTATTCAAATGTTCAAATGCAATTTCTAAAATCGAATTAACTCCATGAGTTTTGAGATAAATGCAACTTTTGATATTTTAATCTAAAGCTAATTTTTGGTACTACAAACAAGTCGATTTGAAAAAAATTGGAAACTTCATTTTCGAGAAAATTTATTGTGAAAAATTGGCAAACGAACGAAGAGTGAGATTACGCGGCAACGCGTCATCCATGGGAACCTTAAAGAATTTCAAGTAAACAAATGTGTGACAAGTGTTTTGCAAAATCAAAACATTAAAAAAACTCGCAATTCATGATTTGATTGATTGATAAAAAATTTCGCTAAAATCGTAGCATAAATTGGAAAAAATGTAGCAAAAATCGACGAATATGTAAGTATTTAGAATTTATTTTTCATTAATTTCTTTGTTTCATGATTTATTGCATTGTAAAAAATAGCAAAAGTATAATAAATTGACAGATACATATTTTGAATTAATTAATTCACATATATATTTAATTAATTAATTTCTATATTAAATTCTTACCCTCTTAATTTCCACCGTCAAATAAAAATAAATTTTGCACAATTCCTCGCACTTCGACCCAATTTTGGAGTTGATATTTACACATTCAAAATTTGACGTTGTATTTCGTATATAAATAAATACAAAATATTATGCTAAATTTTGTACTTTGTTTAAATACGAAATTTATTAGTGTTGCATCAATTTATGGTTTACTTCATAAATTCAAACCCAGACAAAGTTGTCGCGGAGCGGATAGCAATAAATGAATAAATTAAGAATTGGTTTATTAAACGATTTATTTTATGAATGAATGTAATTTCTGATTGTGGTGTGCCGATAGTGTTTGGTGTGTTTTGTGAATGTATGTGGTTTCTGATGGTGGGGTGCTAGTAGTGCTTAATATGGAATTGAGAATTATTTGATGTATCCGCGGAATTGGCAATCAGCGGATAGCAATTGGTGTGTAATTAGGAATTTTTAAGTCGGTAAATAACTTGTATAGATGTATAGATGTATAAATGTATAGATGCAGTTTATGGTTATGTATGAACATGTGTGAAAAAGGTATGTTTACTCGATGCTTCTGAGTAGCGGACGCCACCTCTCCGGCCTATGCGGAACGAGTGTAGTCGAGGAGAGGGGTATAAAAGGAGCTGAGCAGTCGCCGCGCGATCATCTACACGTAGTACTTCGTCGAGTAAGCATCTCTTGTAGCTCCTAGTTTGTACCCGCGGATATAGTTTCAACGGACAACTAGTAATTTAGCAGTACTTTAGCAATATTTGTATATTTGTTTTGTATTACTTTACTATTTTTCAACGGATTAAATATTTACTAAAAGTTTCCATTTGTCCACTGATTATCCATTTAACGGGATTGTTTCAACGGATTGACATAATCGGAGGATAGCTCAACGGATTGTCATCGCGTTAGTTTTAACGGTTTCATTGGATAGGGATTTGGAGCTTGAAGGTATCAAATTATTAGTCGGGGAATTAGTGGAAAGGCATCTCAAATTACAAAATCCGAAAAGCAGAAAAGTGCGGACGTAAAGTTTAGACAAGTCAGCTATCACGAAAGAAAGGTTAGCTGCGTCCGCCACACAAAGTCGTGAAATTCATGTGACTTTGAGAACAAGTAGATATTTCAAGTTTAAAAGTGCCTTGAAAAACCTACAAATTTCGCATTTTTTTCTGAAATTTTATAAAGTTTGCAAGGATAATTCGCGTTAATTGGTGTAAATAAATTTTCAGCGGTTTCTCCTTACTATTCATGACAATTACACGTTATTATTTATCACAGAAGAAATTAGCTTCTTTACATCTAAATATAAATTAACATCACACATAACAAAATTTATCCATATGGCATTAAAATTTAACATTTTATACATTTCAAAAATTTCATGCTAAAATAAAATATTAGACAAAATTATAACTCGAAATTTCATAACGTCATGTTTCCAAAAATTAGTCTCATTAATCTTAATAATCACGACTTGAATGCATTTTGTTTAAATAAGGAAGCTGCAGCTAATAATTTGTGTAATTAATTTGCACAAATCTGTTTAGAAATTAATTCCTCAAAAAATGTTATTTCAATTTTGGGTTTGCGATTTTGAAATAATTTCAAATTCAGAACCACACAAAACCATGAGATTCATGCGATTTCAATAACAAGTATTTCAAACGTGGCTTGAAAAACCTAGTTAATGGTTTTTTATTCTCACTCAAAAAATCTTGACCACCCCGACCACGCCACGTTTTGGCTGCCGTTGACCACACGACATTGCTTCTTCGAACATGCCGACAAACGAACAAAACCCCGTCGGACGTTCTTTTTCGGATGTGTCTCAATGTGTGCAGAGATGGAAAAATGCCCAAAATTCCGGACAGTTGGGGTTGGGACAAGCAGTGGTTATCTTCTTGATTATCATCCACTTTGAGCGAAATGTTTAAAACTTTTATCTGCCGAAATTCCAACCGTTCCCCGGAAGAATTCGCCCTATGAAAAATATCTCCCCAAATAACATCCTCCCAACCTTCGGGTTTCTCTTTACTTTATTTTATTTTATACTAAATTACATAAGCAACATGTTCACGTATGCATATTATTGGGGAAAGGAGTCGACTATTTGGTAAGACTTGTATATTATGTATAAAGTATAATTGCAAGCATTCATAATTTTTTAGTGACAAGAACAATTAGCAAATGATTTTAATATGCTTCGCTACATCATATTTGAAATTTGATAGTTATTGTGTATTTGTATCTATTTATATGATAGTGAATGAAATGGGGCGCTGATGCTGGAAATATTAAAATTCTATATCATTCACTGGAGAAGAAATTTATTAAATACTTTTTATCGCACTTCTTAAGTCTCATCTAAGCTTTCCTTTTTTGGGTTTCTTTTATTTAATAGTTTTATTCGCAATTGAAAGTAATTTATTAAGTAGTGTAAGCTGCATATTGCGATCGTTTTGTTCGTACGTCCGTCTCTGGGCAGGATATCTCCAGAACGAATCTCGGTCGAGTTCGATAATAGGGTTAATGGGACCGCTCCCCACAGCGCTAGAGGCTGTGGTCCAAAATTAAGCTTAACCTTAATTTTCATATTGGGTGTCATTTTAAAGGACATTTCACCCCGAATTCAACACCGGCAATATTTTTGGCCTTATGACCGTGAGGACGAGGTCAAACATCAAAACTACATATGTTGGGAAAGGCAATTATATAATTATAGTTCCGACATATGTGACCGTTGACCTCCTCTACACGATTCCTGGGGTGTTGCATGTCAAACTGGTCTTGTATTCATGTTCAAAATCCGTTACGAATAATTAACAATTATCGAACCGACGGACAGAAGCACATAACGATCTTATAAATGGGTACCCTTTTATTATTCGTAATTATCACATTGCTGAGTGGTGGGCCTTAGCAACTAAACTTGGTGGTGGTGGGAGAGGCAATATTTTGACCACCATCAAAATTTTCTCAGTTTTAAACTGATTTTCGGGATTTTAATTTTGTATTTTTATAAAAAATATGTATCAACTTTCTGCTCATTTACATTTAGCATGAAGGCCTTCATTTTTTTCTAATCTCAATAAAACACATTTTCGATGGTGTTTTTCCTGCATATCTCAGGAACAGGGCACTATTCCAGCCTCCTGGTCGACAGTTCAATTCTAATTTGCCATAATTGACTCTGGACACTAATTTCATTAAAATCGGATGGAAATTGACCTAGATCTGAAAAAATTAAGCTTTTCAGAACCGTAGTGATTGCTTACTTAGATGATTTTTTTGCTGCAGTAACTATAGCCTCATCTAAGAAAAAGATTGAATATTTTCTCATTGAAGAAAAAAATCAAAACTCTAACCTCCATAAAATCTCCATTTTTTAAAAAACGTACGGACATGAACACATTTCAAAATCACCATTTGAAGAAGGGAAAGTTGAGACACAAAAATTTGTGTCTCAAAAAACACGCATACAATGGAACGTTATTTATTTTCAGTACCAGACAAAACCATGAGATTCATGCGACTTCAATAATAAGTACCTCAAACGTGGCTCAAAAAACCTCGTTAATGGTTTTTTATTCTCATTCACAAATTCTTGACCACCCCGACCACGCCACGTTTTGGCTGCCGTTGACCACACGACATTACTTCGAACATGCCTACAAACGAACAAAACCCCGTCGGACGTTCTCTTTCGGATGTGTCGTAGCGTGTGCAGAGATGGAAAAACGGCCAAAATTCTGGACAGTTCGGGTTGGGACAAGCAGTGGTTATCTTCTTGCTTATCATCCACTTTGAGCGAAATATTTAAAACTTTTATCTGCCGAAATTCCAACCGTTCCCCGGAAGAATTCGCCCTCGGAAAAATATACCCCCAAATTTCGGGTTTCTCAAAGGAAGTAAATACTCCGAGGGTGGAGAGCGAAGGAAAAGTTCGGTGGAAAGCTTGAGGTCCACCCTGAACAAAAAAAAACAAATATAATTTATGTCATGTTAAAATTGTGAAGTTTAACGAGGAAATTCACGCGGTAATTGGTAAAATGCGCAAGTTTTGTCAAATAATTTTACAAACTAAGGAGAAGATCTGAATAAGTTTATAAAAAATTTGCAACCTAATTTACCTTCGAAATAGTACTAAAACCTTGTAAAAGTTTGCAAAATTTACGGATTTTCCAATATTGCTAATCACTGCACTGCGCGTGAATTATCTCACAAGTAAAAAAAAACTAACTAGAAAGATGACGCCAAATTTGGAGAATTCCTTCCAAATTTCCACATCCAATTTTGTCAGGAGGGGAAAGCGCAGGGAGTTGAATGCGTCCCAATTTTCTAAAAAACCGTAGTCCAAAGTGCTGAGCGTGGGCGCATGCCGCCTCAAAATTAGGCGTAATTTGTCCCCATTTATATAGGCGTTTAAGTCGAGATGAGCCAGTGACCTTGGGAGGGAAGCCAGATTGCGTATCTGAAACAATGTTTCGGAAACGATAAGTAACCACTTGAAATAATGGTTAATGGTAAGAAAGTGTTTTTGCAGGTATTTTGAGCCAAAATTTTTAACCTTCAAGAAAAGAAATACAATGCGCAAGAAACTACCCTACGCTCCCCGCCATACTTCATTCGGCGCGTCGCCAGATGGCGCATATTTCAGATTCTTGCACCTTAATTTCTTGCATTTCTTTCTTTGTAGTGCAAGAAATGTAGCAAACCCGAACACTGGGTCACTAACGGCACGAACATAGCTACTCGGAGCTATTGATTGGAAAATGGTTAAGCGTGATGGAATTTCTGCCCGCCCAAAACACGTGCCCACTTGATTAACATTGCGAGCGGGCTGAAACTTAAATCAAATCCATCACGCTTAAATATTTTCCAATCAATATTTTGCCTAGCAAAAAAATTCAAGGGGCGAGAAACTACTTCCCTCCGCTATAAATAGTTCATACGGCGGATGGCTAGATGGCGCATATTTCTTGCACCTATCCTTTCTTGCATTTCTTACTTTGCACCTTACTTTATTTTCAAAATTCTTTATTCTTTCAAAATTCACTTTGCACTGCAAGAAATGTGGCAAACCCACAAGAAACGAAACACTGACCTCAGGATACGTTACCCCGTCGTCGCGTGGTCCCCATCCTACCCTTATTCCATTCAATTTAGGGAATGGGTTGGGTTCATAATTTTTGAAATTCCAGTCATCCACATGTTTTTTACGACCTCATCTTGAGGCCGCAGATCTTGATATGCACATCCTTCGAAATCCAAGAGTTGTATGTTAGAAGTGGAACAGGTTTTCATAAAATGGGTGACCGCATCCATTGATAAGCCATGACCACCAGCAGTGATATGATCATCATCCTCATCTGGCTCCTAATAAAGTGGATTGCAGAAAATATTTTTGTTAAGGGTGCACTCATACCTGTTCACTTTCATTCATTTGAGTGATTATGAATGAAAATGAATTTCCTGTGATTTGAATGAAAATGACTGAAGGATTCCGTCATTTCAGATGAATGACTGTGAATGAAAGGATTCCTCACTCATTTCATTTTTTTCACCCTATGTTTAATACATGGGACGAAGTAAGAAATGAATTTGAACGAATATGACTGAATGTGAATGACAATCTTCATTCAGAAATCGGGATGATTGACTTTTGAATGAATACTAAATTTTTGAACAGGTATGAGCGAACTGCATGTCGTGGGTTTTGAATTTAAATTTGTGTGTCTCAACTTTCCTTTTTGTAATGTGTTCAAATGGCGATTTTAAAACCTGTTTATTTTCATACAATTTTCTAAAAATGAAGATTTTATTTCATAAAACTATATGTATTTTTTCTGATCATTTTTTATCTATTTCATTTCTATTTTTTTATGAAGAAAAAAAATCACAATTCCACCCTCCTACCTTCCCAAATCTAAAAATTATCGATTTTTAGATGCAATCAAATCTGCACTTAAAGAACTCAAACACGCAAACAAATAAATTCAAAACCCGTATGTAATGGAACGTTAAACTAATTTTACCAATTAATTAATCTAAATCATCCGTGCAAATGGTCTGTGCTAACTTTTTACATTTTGGACGTTCAATACATCCAAATAGTAACTGGGGCATATGCTACACTTTCTTGGTTATTGAATCTTTCGATAATCCTATGTGCAATCTCCCGTTAATTTCAACATTTTTACAGCATGGTTTACAAAATTTCTGAATTTCTCATTAGAAAACATAGGATAAGCTTAATTTCTCATGTAAAAAGTTTTTCCAAAATTTCGTGGTAAGGGAGCGTCCATAAATCACGTGATCGATTAGAGGGGGGGAGGGGGTCTGAAATTTGTCACCAATTATCACGGGGGGGGGGGGGTAGATGGGATGGTCAGATGTCACGTGACATGAGTAAAGTTTTTTTCAACTTTTGTATATGCCAAGAAATGCGATGAGAGTTATATATAGACTAGTTATTTGCACTAAATAAATATATATATATATCTATAAATAGTTATTTACACTTATATTAACTTACCTTATATTTATGTGTGTAATGTAGCTCTACTTTGATTAATGATTTAAAAAAGATTGTTATTCAGGACAGAGCATCATCTCCTGTCACGTGACCGGTGGGGGGAGGGGGTAGCGAAATTATCACCACCGGTCACCAAGGGGGGGGGAGGGGGTCAAAATTGTCCAAAAATCGATCACGTGATTTATGGACGCTCCCTAATGGTAATGATAATTTCCTGGTACACCAAAATGATCAAAATTAATGGGAGTTTACATATCTGTGCGCTGGTTTGCAAAAAAAAGTGTTTAATAAACTTGCAACATTTTGTCGCATTTTCCAATGTTGGACGCTTTTGAACAACCTTTTGACACTTGTGGCATGTCAAATTGACCGTCAGATTGACACGCGACAAATAGCCCCAGTCGTATTGACCCCATCATATTACAAGTATTATGAAAATTGTGTGACAGAGTCTGTTTGCGTCGGGGTCAAGTTCATGTTTCACCATTTTGGACGCTTTTGAACGGTATCCAGTCCAAAAATAGTTTTTGGCGTGTAAACCGGAACACTGCCACCCGATAAATAATTCTTATTTCTTATTACTACTCACCGCAAATATACGTAGTCCAAGTGTGACCAGGGATGGTGGAAGGAAACCCGTCGGCATTGAGTTATCGGGGGGTGTGGTTATCAATGGAAAACCGAGAAGCCCCTCATCCCCAACGTCGATAATGTCCAGGTAGAACTTTTCTAGGCGTGGGAAAGCGGTTAAGAACTGGACCACGCATTTCGCATCTGTCTCATTCAGTAAGGTCAATTCAAGTCGTAATTCTTTCACGCAACGTCCAATTCGGGTCAATAATTCAAAAACTCGAGAGTCCGAGGATGTGTCTGGCGAGGTTCGCGATTAGAATTTAAAACATCGTTTAAAGTTGCCCAAATTTTTTGGAAGTTTTCATCCTCAAATTCATACGCTTCAAATTCGGAAATCAAGGAATAGTAGACCCACGCAGGGGACTGGAAGGAGAGGAAAAGAATGGGGTGGAAGTCGTCCCTTTGGTTGAGCAAGCGGTGCAAATCTTCCCATTTTTCTGTCTCGAACGGAGGCTCTAAACGGATGATGATGTCGAAATTTCGAAATTTTTTGATAGCTTCGATCTCCCAACTTTTGCACACAAGTCGGACAGCTTTTAAGGAGGTGAGGTCCAAATATTGGAAAATTCCGGACAGAATCTGCAGAAATTAAAATGCTTTTCTCAAATGATGGACAAATTGAAAAGGATTTAACAAATCAAAAATCGTATAAAAATCGCCAAAATCAGCACATTTTTAATAATTTCTTGGCCCTAGAAATGTATTTTAAAATTCTGGACTACAAATTTCTCGATCAAGTCGGTGCCAATTAAAAAATATACACTGCAGATTTTAACACTTTTTGAAGGAGGAGATCTCAAGTTTGCAGAAAAAGTGTACCTCATTTTTATGCTTAATGATCAAGTCCTATTTAATAAATTACATATGTAAATGTGTTCACTAACCAAATGATTTTCTAAAGCCGTAGCGCAGGAGGAGGAGGGAGAGATATTTTCTAACGAATTAATGGTAGCCATTTCAAGGTTATTTAATAAATTATTATTTAGACCACACTTTGAATTAAATGAGAGCAAAAATTTAGCAAAAATTAACGCTCGTCACATTTTATTTACAGAAGAGAAGCCAAAGAGAAAGCAGATGAGTACATAAATTCGATCGATAAATTCATGCGTGCGTCGTTGCGTGGATGAAAACTTGGTCTTATGAACAGAGAACAACTAGTACTTTTTAAGTTGTAGTTTGAATTTGTTTGTACTTTGTATTTTGCAAGTATTTAGAATTTTTTGTACAATAATAAATAATTTTAGGAATTTCAAATTTTGCGAGATATTCACGTTGTTAGAAAGAAATTTTAATCTAGAGATATTTGGTTGGCGATCTAATCTTATAGAATGTCGTAAATTTAAGCATAGGGCGGATATGTATTAATGTATTTAATCTCATTGTTCGAAAAATACGTAAAAATTTCGGATATTTTTTCAAAAATATTTGAAAAAGTAGGTGCAAAAAAATCGATCCATAAATTCATGCGTGCGTCGTTACGTGCATGAAAAGTGGAGGACATAACTATTTAAATATTTATTTTCACCTTTTCAATTTTATGGCAATGTACGATCAAATTTTTGAGAAAAAATTGTGTATTAGTAAAACAAATTTTATGACAACGAATGATAAAATTTTTGAGAAATTCGTATCGTTAATAAAAAAATTAACATTTTTGCATTAATAAAACAAATCACAGATTATTTATTATTCTTCCGGTGTAATTCGTCGGAATTAAATGTATGGAAATTTAATGTATGGAAATGTTTGGCAAGCCATCGCCTATATTTTGTAACATTTTTTCAAAGAAATTTAGTGAAATTTAGAAATTTAGAAATTTAGTTTATTTAATCTTTTTAAAAATAATAAAATAAGAGAATTTTGAAATTTTTAGGTACATGAATTTTTCTTATATCTGTATTAGAGACTTGAAAACTTCTAGATTTATGTTATGATTTAATGCCAGTTGAGAAATTTGAAATATTTCATATTGGTTAAAGCAAATTCTACAAATAGATGAACTCCTTGCCTACGCAAAGTAATTCAGAAATACTTTATGAAAGCGATTGTCCAGTAATATTTCCATTTTCAAACGTTAGAAATGTGATGATAAGTTTCATTTGTCAATTAAAAAATGAATTTTTGTTTGTAAATAGATGCAATTTTGTGGATAAAAAAATTCAAATTTATGTTATGAATTGACGGCAAATGGGATTTTTTAAATAGTTGATGTGAAAAATATAATAATTTAGGTTTTGAGGTAGAGTTAGCGTGGATACGTATATTGGTATTTTTAAATTTTCCATTTTATGACGACCGATAGTCAAAATTTTGTGAGTGTGTTCCATAATAATTCAAAATTTCGAAATATTTTTTTTGCATATTGTTGCATATTTCTAGGTTTTCAGAAATATAAATATTATTTAAAAATTACTTGAGTCTTATTTATATATTTTTTAATAGGTATGTAAATATTTTAATATTTTTACTAATTGAGGCGAAAATCATGTCAAATTTTGATATATTCGGTAAAATGATTGCCATTCATTTCATTTAATAAAAAATTTATTCTTTTTGCTCAACATTTGTCCTCGAATTTATATTTGTCCGCATTTTAGCGAGGACAATTAAGCCAAATTCAAGGCAAGGAGTCACAAGAGTGCATTCCCGATCTACAATTTTCGTTAAATCCACGCAAAAATAACTGAGTTGCAGAATTGCAACTGATGGCCGTTTTTCGAACGTGGTTTTCAACAACTAACACATCAAGAAAACCACAGTGGTTTTCACGTTATTTTAACGTGGAAAGTAACAATAAAATAACCGTGGCATTTGCAACAAATCCACAGTAATGTTTACGTCAAAACCACCGTGGCATTCACGGTAATTTATGCAAAATATTAACGGTAGGTTTTTCGCAGTTCATTGGCAATAAAATCGCAATTTATAAACAATTTATATTGTATTATTTATATTAACAATTTATTAAAGGAACAACAATTAATTTGTCATCCAATGACATCAACCAACATTTTGCTTCAACTTGGCTCACATTTACTCTAAAACTCTTTGATATTTTTGAAACCTGATGTATGCCTAAAATAGAACTAGAGCTAGGATATTTTTACAAGTCTTCAAGTTTTTTGAATGTCTTACATACTATGACGTCACTATCTTTAATGTATTCTGATACAACAACAATAAACCCAGATTTTAACTTATAACAATTGTCATTACGGGTTAATTTAAACGAGGTAGAAGTTGTAGACACAGGTTGAGACAAAAGAACATTTTCTTTCTCAATTATCCTATTCACACATTGCTCTATATCTGGGTTAAAATAGCTAACCATCATCAAATGCTTTTTTCGTAAAATAATTTGCCGTCGGCCTGAGAAGAGTTCTGTGATCGGAAGGTAGAAAACTAAATATTTTATATTCCTTCAGAAGTTTGAGTAAATCTTGCACTGCTAACCCAGTTATATTATGTGAAATTGCCCAATTTCTTAAATTTTCTCTTATCTTATCAATACTTTCTCCTTCCTGACTGCAGTCCGAGGTTACACGACTAATTAAACTTATATCACTATCGCTAACATCAATTGATTCAGTCCCTGAGCTATAATTATTATTATTAATCGGCCGAGAATTTTTGACAAAACACTGTACTATTACTATGTTGTGTAGACGACGTTAGTTCTTCATGTAATTCTGCAATATTTTCACGTACTTTTTTTGAAACTATTCTTCTTATATTTCTAGCTGAAAATCCGGGTTGACACGCCAGGACGATATTATACTTTTATAAAACGGAAGAAATCTTTTGCTGCTTTTTCAATTATGTTGTCCGTTGCAGCAGGATAATTTTTTCTCACACTTTCTATTTAATCAAAGAGTACATAATTACTTGTTGTAACTATTGTGTTACAAGAAAATCAAATAAATATGAAATAACGAACCAATTACAGCCGAGAAAATTCCCAAAGGTTTTAAAGCAATTTTTCCTCCCTTTCCAGTGTAATTTATTTGTCGAGCAAGTTCAGGGCTGACTAATTTTTTAAACGCCTTTTTCGTATTTTTCTCAACAGTATCGCCTCCTTTTATTCTTAGGTATTCAATCTGGAAGATCAGAATTATTCAGAATTGGTACAAAATTATGAAATTGAATAATTAATCAAAAAGTCCAAATCTGACCAATAAATCTCGATTTGTGTCGGCAAGTTTCAGCCAATTTTCAGTCTGTTCAAGGTGTTCTCTCGTCTCCAGATGATGATGTGGAATAGATGAAAAATCAGCTTCAACTTCTCCGTCGTTCGATATTCGGATATTATGTAGGGTTGCTCTTATCTCTAGAATTTCTGCGTTTTGGCGCTCAAGAATTTTGATAATTCTTGTATTATAACCTGCAACAAAAATTACATTATTTTAGTATTAAATGATATAACATGATAAAAACTGTAAAAACTAAGCAAAGATTTGCCTTCAATTAATTTCTTTAAATCATTTATATCTGCTGAAGTGGCCAAAAGCACGCCAATGTCTTCTCCTTCCAAGTTGACTACTTCTGGTAGATTTATTGAAGGAATGTTGTCGTTAATTTGAGTTGATAGTTGTACTTCAGTGCTTCCTAAGAGGATTCAAGTGAATGAAAACTTATTTTTGTTAAGCATTTATTAATAAACAAATTATTTTACCTTCATCGTTCATGGGAGGAGGTAAAACTAGAATGGAATTCTCTTCCTCATCCTCGCTGCTGCTTGATGACACGTTCGGGTGCGACAATTCTCGATTATGTTTCTGCTTTCGGCCTTCCAAATGATTCTCTGACGCACTCTTAAGATTGGAAGTGTCCTCCGCTATCTTAACCTTCTCACAAGCTACATACTTTCCAAGTATCTGCAATCGAGATTATTTTTATTTAAATTACATAATCAATTACATTACTTTAATAATTGAACTAAATCGATGATATTCACCATATTTTCCAAGGATTTTCTGATACGTCTGTCTTCTCCAGGATGGGAGGGGATGTACATTTCCCTTTTTACTGAAACTTTTCAGTTTAGAAGCTGGTGGCCACAACACGAACTTTTCCTCCTCTTCCAGCCAAATCGTGGGAGCTATTTCTACAAATTTTTCGCCGTTACAGTCAATCTGTATAATACAAAATTTATTGACTGGGAGGGATGACATTTTGGAAATAAAATTAATTGAACTGACTTTGTGAGAGAGAAAGATGGAGTGGAGGCAAAACTTTGGATTCCGCGCATTCTCTTTGTTAGCATTCCAGGTTAAATCTGCGTTGTTTTTTCGTGCCATGTTTTGGTGAATACCACGGTTGTTATTTGGTTGAAATCCACGCAACTTTTCTCGTTGAAATTTTCATGAAAAGTTGCGTGAATTTTACTGTTATTTTTATGTAGCAGAATGCTTTGAAGAGTTAACAGTAATTTTTCATACTGTGGAATCACGTTAAAATAACAAATATTTTGCCACCGTTATTTGTTTCAAGTTGCTACCATTTTGCTACCACTTTGCAACAAAAATTGTAGATCGGGTTGTACTTTAATTGCTGTGTTCTTTTTGACGTAAAATTTACACAAACGTCAAAAAGTTACCAGCTTCACTAAGCATTGCGAGTAGTTTAACAGCGTCCAAATCTGTCCTTAATATTTCCTAAAAAATCTAAAAATTCGAACATCATGAAACCTCACATTCTCGCATCGATAATCCTCTCTCTGGTAATTTATTGTAATTCAATATTGTAATTTGCCCAAAAATTGAAAAAAATTTCAAGCAATTTTGATTAACAAAAGTTTGATTTCTTATCTGATTTCTTCATAATTTACTATTTTAATTTCTTCCTTTAAAAATTCCAGGCTCTAAAATTCCAAACAATTTTGTTTTTTACCCCTCAAAATCTAAAACTTCAATTTTTCATCACTCAAAATTTCAATTTCCTTCCCCTAAAAATTACAGGTTTCAAAATTCCTACCAATTCTTACCCCTCAAAATTTAAAACTTTAATATCTTCCCCGTTAAAATGTTGATTTCTTTCCCTTAAAATTTTGATTTTTTCCCCTAAAAATTCCAGGCTGCCACATTATTTTTCACCGCACCGCAAGAAGCTGACGCCCAGTACATTCCACCCGAATGTAACAACGTCAAGTGTCCCCGTTGCCTCGTACCAAGTTTGCCAGGCGAATGTTGCCCCCGATGTGGCTGCGAAGGTGCCATTTGTCCCATGTGTATCGGACCCATACCCCCGGGACGATGTTGCCCTCTCTGCAGCGTGGGGCCGGCCAAATAAGAACCACGGATATGTATTTAAGAAAAATTGCGGAAATATGGATTTAAAATTTACGAAAAATATGAATAAGATAATTATGAAATGTATATGTACAAAAAGAAAAATGAATAATTTTCCCAAAATTTTCAGCCAAATCATTCACAAAAAGCCAAGATTAGCAAAGGGCGGATATGTATATGTTTACGAAAAATTACGGAAATATGAATTTAATATTTACGAAAAAAACGCCCAAATATTTACGAAATATGTACAAAAAACACAAAAATATACAAATAAAATTTATATTTTTGAATTGAATGCCTTAGATTTTTTGTAGTCCAATTTCTTGGATTAAAAATTTCGTCTCGTCATTGCGATATTTGAAAAATATATGATAGTTCATTACTTTTGAAAAAATGTTGACAAATTTCCGTATTTTTCAAGTAAATAATAGCAGAAATATTTATATTCCGGAAAACCTAGAAATGTGTAAAAATATTTTGAAATTATTGTGATCTATGCGAATTAGGCAACACACTCAAAAAGTTTGACCATCGGTCGTCATCAAATGAAAAATAAATACAAATTCGTCCTCTGACCTTTAAATACTTACTGATTTCTCGTTTTATTATTTCGTCCATAGTAAATTCTTCTGTTATAGTTTCTCTTTGTAAAAACTCTTCACTTACATATAGCTAATTAGCATAATTAGTTATGAATATAATTAGCTTAAACACTCAATTTGCTTGCATCCTTAAACTCGACAAGTCACCGAAAAGTAAAAGTTAACAAATTATCAAGTCATAACACATAATATATCAAAAAATCAATACTATTTGGCCAAAGAAAATTTAAAGATGCGTTTTTACCGTCTAACTTGCGCCATAGTTAAGCTAATAACATTGGCGCAAGTTAGTTGGGACAAAACGCACCCTTAACAAGAAAAAAAGATGTCACATTTTCAATTTTTATACAATAATTATTTATTTATTTATTAGATTATTATTAACTTTAGAATATTTATTAATTTGCTTATCAATTTATGGATCAGGGTGTCTTATTTCTTATCCAATTTTCATACTTATCTTGACTAATTTAAACCTCTTGATTAACTTAACAAGGTATAAATCTAAATATTTTTAGTGGTGATCATCATCAGACCGGAAAATCAAACTCATTCATAGCACAAAAATCACCATGTCTGCCTATTTTATAGTTTGTACCACATTTCTTTCTCACCAGTTTAATTATACACACATTTTATTTATAATCCATTATATATTTTAACCATTTTTAAAATTTTACACATGAAAATTCATTTCACTTCAGAGAGAACAAAATTGGAAATATTTGGGTATAAATGAAATAAGAAATCTCTGTAAAACAGGGAGCAACACGAAATAATGGTAAAAAAGATATCCATGTGTCGCTGTAAATATGAAGTAAATTAAGATAACACTAGCTATTGCTTATCCAACACGCTTCTCAAATTTCCCATCTTCTGAGAACAAAATTTCTCCAGGACATGTCCAGCTTTGTAGATTTGAGATTCGGGTGGATTGAAGAAACGATAATTGTCGACTATTTTTGCCAAATCGGCGACAAAGTCGAGAAGTTTGGTGTACATTTTTTCCTCAACGCGTAACGCGATTGTTTTGAGATCTGGGAATTTAAGGAATAAAACAAAATTATTATTAGAAAGACATAAAGTTGCAAACTGTGTAAATTTTAGAAAATTTAGAAACGTTTCTAATGAAAATTCTGTATTTATAACAAAGACAATTCACGCGAATATTTGTAAACTGCAGTTTTTTAAGAGGCAAAATATTTTGTAACTTTTACAAAATTTCGCGATCGGTGGAAACTTGCAATAAACTTTACATCGATTTCTCTTCAATCTTTTTGTGTGGAAACCAGTACAATTTTACTGAGTTTACAAACATTGCAGTGAATTTCGTCCTTAATTTTTGCAAAATTTGCAAACTTTACACCGTTATCTTGAACATTTAAATAATTTACTTACCCATCGGTTCTTTGATAACTTTATAATAATTTGGAACGTCCGCCGCGTTGACTGGATTCATGAAAGGATATGACGATTTATGGCTTTGGATTTGTCTCAGAGTTTTAGAAATCTCGACGTAATGCTCGTTCGAGAGGGATTTGGCATTGATGGCATTAATCTTCATGCCGGGTTGGCACGTGGGACAGTAATAGGCGGGAATAGAGTCCCCCTCAGTGGGCAAGATCCCTACACAACGGCCGTGAAACCATTCATCACACTTTTCACAGGCGATGCAGAACCTAAAATCAAACATTTTTTAAAATGTGTATTTTAAAAATATTTTTTCAAAATTTTGAAATTTTCCTCCCAAAAAACTTACTGTGTCTCCACATAAGGTTGTCGACAGAGGCACATGCTCTTATTATCCGACCCACTTGAAGACGATGGTTTACACGCCACGCAGATAAATTCGGGCACGTTTTTCCCCTCCTCCTCCGGAATTCCGATGCAGTCCCCGTGATACCAAGAGGAACAGATGTCGCAACAAATGTAAAATCGGGTCTTATCGTAGGGCGTTTTGCAAATGCAGTGCACCTTGTTCCCACCACTTTTGGGACGCTGTTTAACGACAGAATTCTTTCCAGGAGATGAATTTCGCTTCTTACGTTTTGCACCACCTCCGTGAGATTTGGAACCGCTTGCTTTACGCTTCTTCGTAAAAGGGAGATATATTTTTAGAAATTTCTCTTAAATTTGAGTAAAATGCACGATTTTTAGTTACCTTTCCTTGTCCTGGTCTAGCATTCTGTTCTGGATTCGTATCTACATCGTCGGATAAAAGCCCCTTATCGTCCTGCGAGATCTCCTTCTGTCCCAAAGTGACATATTAGTTAGTCATTCTTTCCACAGGTAAATTTATACAATGACAATGTTTCAAACCGTGTAAATTTTGCAAGCTCACATCAATCTTATTTCGATTCGTATCGCATTTAGCAAAAATTAAAAAATACCAAAATTTTCTAACAAAAATCATACGGTTTTCCATCAAAAAGTTTTTAAAAATCTCTCAAATTTCGTAAAACTTCGTTATTTCGCATCGCTAGTTTGTAAAATCAAAAACCTACAGTGCAGACTCCATATAGCCCGAGTCAGGGACATAGTCCCTGACTCAATAAGTCAGAGTCCGCTTCTAAATTTTTGTCCGAATTGACCGACATAAAGCTGTATATAATCCAGAAGTGGTTTTTAGCCTCCATACCAAATTTCAGATGAAAATAACAACTTTTAAAAACGGTATGGGTCCCCCAGGGTCATTTTGGTTGCACTTTGCAAACTTTTAACTTCATATTATTTCATGAGAAGCCATTAAGTATCACCGTATTGAATTTCATCTTTTTAAACCACTTTCTAAAAATCGGTATGGGTCACCCCATAGAGTCACTCCAGATAAAAATTTTTCCAATCTGAAGTCATATTCTTGCATTAGGTGCCATTAGCAACCACTGTACCAAATTTGAACTTTCTACGACAATTTTGAAATTTTGATGCATAATACCCCACCCACTCCGATGACCCCCACCGGTCAACCACTGGACCGATTTCGCCCATCTTCGAACTCGTTTCCTAACTTTGTCCAATATGCATATGGTGAAAAATTCAAGTCAATCGGTTCAACCGTTTTGGCTCTATCGTGCCGGACAGACAGACGGACGGACATGACGGTTCCATAAGCCCTGACTCGGGCTAAAAATACAATTTGCTAGGCGAATTTACAAACAAAAATCATGTTATTGGTTTTGTATCAACAATCTGATAAATTATGTTGATCAGCTCAGTTTCCGAAGGTTGTCGTGCCGCAAAACTTACACAGTTTACAAACCCCGATCTCTATCTCTTCCACTAATTCCTTACCCGAACATCCATTGCTAAATCACGCTCTAAAAGAACTCTCTTCTTGGATATGTCCTTCTTCAACAGGTCGGTCTGCTTGTGCATGAGATTGATTTGTTTGGGTGACGCCATCGGTGACATGTTAATCCGCTTCTTTGGTGGGGACATGATCTACACAAGGAGACAATTAAGTAATTACAATCAACAACTAATTAACTTAGTAATTAAATTAACGCACCATCGTCGACTCGGAATTTTGCATGATCGATTTCGTCTTCACGGGACTCTTTCTTCGACTAGATCCACTCTTCGGTTTATTATTTGGCGAGGTCGGGGTGTTCGTTGTGGAGGCGATTTCATGTTCTTGTACGTGTGGTGGAGACGAGAAAAACGTCATGGACGAGGCTGAACTACTTTCCAGTTGTTTATGTCCGGCTAACAAAAAAATATAAAATAATTAGCATCATCTATTTACGCACAAATAACCCAATTAAAACTTCAATTACAATTAAAATCAGCACTATGATTAAGCAAGAATCATGATATTTTTCATATTCGAGACAAGATTGTGACATCATTTTAATTTCCCACCCCAAAATTTGGCAAACTTGCCCTCTCCCAGTTTGCAAAATTTGTTCATCTTTCATGCAAATTTACGATAGATTTTGCACCCCAATCTTCCCTTGTAAACTTGTAAATTTACAAAGATTACAAATACCCCGATCAATAAATTTTCTAAAAACACTCACCCTGCCCACTTCCCATCAAATCCTGCGACAAGACAAATCTTGGAACTTCTGCGTCATTATTTTCACTAACTTCGATCTCATTAACGACCCCGTCATCGATCACGACGTCACCCTCGATCGGTTGCGGGATACCTTGCTCTTCTTCTGTTGGAATATGAGCAACTTCCGGAGGCGGAACTGGTTTCTTTGGAGAAGCTTTCCTCCTCGGAGGTGATGCTGCTGGTTTTACCGGTGATGACGAAATGACGTGATCATGATGATTCTCTGTCTCCACTTTGTGCAAGATATTTTTCAACATGTCCTCCTTCGACGGGGTGGGGAGAGAAGTTGGTGGTGAGGAGGAACTCGCCACCATCACGGATTGTGTCTTCTTCATTGGAGAAGACTTTGCTGGCAAGATGACGGGCGCATCAGCGTTCGAAGCCACCGCGGCGATTGCTGCCTCAATGTTGGCAGAATTTGGGGGTGATTTTATCAGCGCGGATGGACTTGAAGGTAAACCTGGGGTAAAACAAATCAAACTTTGTGAAAATTATTTACAAAATAAGTAAACTTTCAAAAACTCCACATACAAAATACCACAAAAACTGAATTTCTGAACCCAAAATTATTATAAAAATCAAATTATTTCCAAATTCCATCCAACCAATGAAAACTAGGTCTTTTTTTAACTCAAAATTGTTTTGAAAAGACAAGGTTTCGTAAAATATTACTTTTTTAAATACAAAATTTAAAGTTTTTCAAAAATTTCACCTTTCATCGGCGACGCCGAAGTAACCGGGCTCTTAACTGGCGACGTTTTTACAGGAGACGCACCCCTCACGGGGGACGAGGCTCCAGCCCCCTTCACCAAACCCGAGGCCGCCTTAGCAGGCAAAGATGGCGGAACCTTCACAATTTTCTGAGGCGTCCCAGCAATATTTGGAGGATGTGGTTGGAGAATGATTTTCAACTCGGTGGCAGGATCCGTCATACCCAAAAACTTTTCTCTCAGGGCGGGATGCTCCTACAAAAATAAGGTGGATTAATTCCTAAATAATTAATTAATCCGTTTTTTTCTTTCGCACCTGCATCTGCTTCACAATCTGTGCATTTAAACTCGCCAATTGCGACTGAGTCAGATCGCCGGGTTTAAAACCACTCACGATAACGCGAGGTCCTTCTTCTGTCTCGATAAATTGTGCCGCTATTTTAGGTTGCTGCGACGCAGCTGGTGTTTGCGGTGTCGATGGTGGTGTTTGCATTGTTGACGAAGGTGTAGTTGGCGTTGTTTTCACCGCGGTCGGAGGCGAATTTGTGGACAAAACGGGACTTGTCACCATCTAGGCGAATACAAAACAAGCATTTTTAAATTCGTTTTTATTTCGGGAAACAAATTAAATTTGGACTTTATTTACAAAATTAAGGGGTAAAAAATTGGAAAAATTTAATAAAACAAATGTAAGAAATTGGGGAAATTTAACAAATTTTTTAAGAAAGTAAATAAAGTTTTGTACATAATAATCTAATCTTTTAGGAACTTGAACCATTATTTTAAATTTTAGGAGAAAAATCTTTAGGGGAAAAATTGGGAAAAATTGATTAAACAGTAACAAAATTCAGTCGAAATTTAAATTAACAAAATTATAAAAGAGTCAAGTTAAGTCAAAATTAACATTTTTAAAATGTCAAAATAAGTCAATAACAAAATAGCACAAACATCTACACCCAAAATTTCAAAATTCCGATCCCCCAAACCAACAAAATCCCACCTGTTGGGGCGCCGCTAATCTTTGCTGCTGTTGCACAATCGCTGGCGCAATGTATCTCGTACTCGGCGTGACTAATGGCGTCGTTACGCTGGAAATCGTCTTCACCGCGGCCGCATTTCCTTGTGGGAACAGAGTCGGCACGATTTTTGGGTTCTTCGACGGCGACACGATAGAAATCGGTAGTCCCGGCGTTTTCGTCACTGTAGTCGATCCAGCAACACCGAGACCAACGCTCGACGTGGATCCCAACATTGGTGACTGCTGATTTTGTTGTTGTTGCTGCTGCTGCAATTGCAATTGTTGGATCGTCGCGGACGAAATGTTTACCGTTCCGGTGTTGGGATCCACCCGGATCAAATTTTTATTCGCTGCGAGCAACTGCTGGATTTGTGCCGCCGTCGGGATCGGTTGTCCAGGAACGGTTTGAATCGTGAGAGGAGTTCCAGATTTTATCGGGGATTTCATAACCTTCTTTACAATTACGTTTTGTCCTCCGAGGGTGGCAATTTGATGGCCAGACGCCAGATTTTGGACGCCTTGAAGGACAAGTTGACCTTGACCTGAGGAGAAGAAGGCAACATTTTAAATTTTGCCACAATTGTTACAAGTCACCTATCACTTTTACAATTATTCAAAGAACTTTTAGTTAATTTTCAAGTAACCCAACCCCCCTCGATAATTACTCACCCGATGCCGCAATCTGTTGCAAACTCTGCCCCGCGATCGTCCCTGCTGCACCACCCCCACTGATAATCTGTATCTGTTGTTGACCCCCTTGACCCTGAACAATCTGCTGTTGCTGCTGCTGCCCTCCTCCCACAATGACCTGCTGTTGTTGTTGCTGCTGCTGTGGCTGCTGAGGTTTCAACCCTTGCTGTCCCGGCTGCGTGGGCACAACCTGCGTCGTCATCACGGTCCCACTCGGCTTCTTCATCTGCATCTGAAGAATCTGTTGTAACTGCTGCGTCGTCAAATTGGCCCCACCCGTCACGACGATGGTCTTATTACCATCCTGAATCACAATCTTCCCTCCAGCCTGATACGTCATGAGAGCCGTCGTCCCTTGCGGCGTGGTGATCTGTTGACTCGGCGGCAGTGGAGAGTTCGACGATGAACTGACCAGCATCTGTGAGGGTGACGCTGACGTTGGCGTGGTTGCTGTCGCCGGCGCCTGTGCAACACTGATCGGACTGCTCTTTATCGCCACAACGTTCCCTCCTCCCACCACATTTGGACTGGAAGAAGAAACCACGACGGCTGGCCCGGGTTGGATTACGATTTGCTGATTGATCACTTGACCTCCACGGGTCAGTACGATTTGACCTTGCGCATTCAACGTCCCTGTGACTTGCTGACTTGCAGAAGAAACTGGTGCCGGCGTGGGGGCAATGGCCGTGGGGAATTTTGGATTTACTTTACGAACGTTCCCTTTACCAGCGGCGGAGTAGGTTTGGACCAGTTGTCCGGACGCGGTCAGTGCGAGCGGAGATTGGGTTGATGTCGCTGATGGATTTTGCTGTTGTGAGATAAACTTGACCGCGGAAGGGGATGAAGAGAGAACGGTTCGCATCGTGGGGGAGGAAATGTTGATGAGTGGAGTGGTTTGGGAGGAGGAGACGGTGCTTTGTTGAATAGCGAGCTGGTTTCCGGCAGCGGCCACTTGTTGGAGTTGTGTGCCGACTCCTTGAGATTGAATGAGGATGGTTTGTCCTTGAGGTTGGGGGGAGATGACGTGTTGTTGTGGGGTTTGTTGGCCGGCTTGTTGGACTGTTTTGTTGACTGGTGTGGAGGTCAGACCGATTTTACCGTCGGCTGTTTGATACACGGCTTGGCCGGGGAGGAGACCACGAACTTGCAATTTTCCATCGGAAGTTCTGGAATATTTGGGAGAATAATTAATTAGCAAAGCTCTTCAGGAACAATTTTTTTATTAATTAGTTTAGTACACGATTGTGTGCAAAATTTGTAACAATTTTAAACGAAATTTCCAAACTCTGTTCAAAATTTTTTGAAAGTTCAACAAATAATTTAACCATAACCCTCACCTAAACACGGTAATTTTCTGCGGCGTGGGGACCGTCGTTGTTGGAGATTGGGCCGCCTGCTGAACAACCTTCGGAATGGCCACCGTACTCCCGACAACGCCTGCAATCTTGCTTCGGTTAAGGATTGCGACTGCAGCGGCGGTCGATCCTGCGCCCGGCGTGGTAGCCACGTCTCCTGCTCCAGGTCCAGAAACATTTAATACCTTCGGAGCCACTATCGTCACCTTCTTCGCGGAGGAGGGGGCTGCACCCCCGTAAGAACGCGGATTTGCGGGCAGACCTGAAACAAAATAATGAATAAATTTTAAGTGTTCAAAAACTTGTAGCAAGAAATTAAACATTTTCAAACTAGATTCAAAATTTTACAAAAAAACAACAATTTCAAGAAATTATCAGTCCCAGCATATGTAAAACCAATCTACAATTTAAAAATTTAAATTCTGCCCTAAAAAATCAGATTACAAAATTCTCTCTTTAAAAACCGTCAAATTCCTCGATTTTTTTAACTTTAAATGAAATTTCCTGTCTTCACAAACAATAAATTCATTTCAATTTTTAAACTAATTTTCCCCACCTGCCGCCGCCTGTTGTTGCTGTAATTGCTGCGATGCTGTCGGTGTGGGCTGTTTATTTACCGCAGTATTATTATTCTTGGGATGGTTGTCCCGCTTCGAAAGGTGGACGGCTCGTTGCATCTTTTCCTCAGTTTCTAATTTCTCCCGCATCAGTTCAGCCGTCTTAGCGGGTGAGATGGTCTTGTCGCCTTTCGTACCGTCGGAGGACGGTGAAGGGTCAAACTTTTCGGGCTGTTTGATACTCACGCCACTCTTGGAGCGGGTCGAGCCCAAGGGAGTGCCTGGCTTGGAGGAAGAGGAAGCTGGATCCGATTTTCTATCGAGCTTATCATGGTACACTTTTATCTCCCAGAGTTCCAACTGGTCCTCATCCACCCAGGATTCCGTCACGACGGGGTCTGATCCTTGCAGAGATTCGGCCAGTTTACGCTTCCGAAGTCCTGATCGGGACGGGGTTATTTCTGGAAAGGAAAAAAATAGACAAAATTTGTAATCACTTCATAAAATATATGTAGGCTTTTAAAAAGAAAATGCTCCTTATTTAAAGTACAAAATGTAAATAATTCATTCCAAACTTTGTAACTGTGTAAATTTTTGTTTACGGTAATGTTACTCTGACTTCAAACAAACTTTCAAAAGTTTATACCACAACAAAATTTCAAGCTGATTTAGTTTAACGTAATAAAACATGGAAAACTAATGCATGTCAAATTTTAAAACCTTCCAAAAAAAAGTTCTCAAAATCTAAATTTCAACCAGTAAACAATTTAAGTTACACAGTTTACAAACTTGGCTTTAAAATATGCGAATTTCACAACACCAATCTTCACGTCGCTAACCTGACGAATCTCTGCTTTTGGCTGCACAAGAATTCAAGTAAAACACACACACAGTTACATACAATATAATTTCTTGGTCGTCTTGAAGTTAAATAAAAATATTTGTTAATTTCTCACCTCGAATCGTTTTCGGGGCATCGATTGGCTCCACAGTTTTCTTTCTGAGGTACTGAACCCGCTCTGAGAAGCGCCCCTTGACCCGGTGAGACAAGATTTCCGACGTGATGATTTCCATATCGGTTGTGGTTTGGTTCTTCCCATCGTAATTCGGAGCTTTCATCTACAATAATAAATTTGTAAAAATAATTAGTTACATCAGATATTTATTTTTGTAAACTTTATAATGCACAAATCTGGTACACAAAATATGATATACCGATTTATCGAAGTGCATTTAACTTCTAAAACTTTGTAATTTTTAACCTGAATTTCTATCTTAAAATTGAGTAAAGTGAATTTACGGAATTACCAAGTTTATAAAAAAATCTCTCAAAAACCACCCATTAAAATTATCACGTTTACAAAAAAATCCACCATCTCACACTCATTCTCACCTGAATGTCATCCCATTTCACGGACGCCCACAAAATCCTCAACTGCAACGCAGCCGCCGCCAACGTATTTGAATGAACGGCTTTAAACTGCCAGCCCGTTTTGAACAGGGGACGACCACATGGATACGGCCACGCCCAGGAACCCGTCTTTGGCGCGGGGGCGAATCCACTCGGTGTAAAGGTCCGGCCTGCAGTGCGGCTCAATTTTCTCAACTCGTGCCACGGCAGGACAAAGATGGAGGGGTCGAGTGGCGTCGAGACGGAACAGAATTTCGATGTGGTGGGATATGTTATTTGATTTCGTCGCCTATTCAACTCATTCGGCAACTTTTTCAGTAAAATTTTGCAACTCGAGTCGGTCTGCGAGATTTAAAAAAGTCAAAATTTATACAATTTAATTTGTTAAAAATAGTAAAAAATATTAAAAATTACATAATTGTCATAAAACAATTTGCAAAATTCATTTAAATGATTTAAAAATTGTGAAAACTCAATTAAAAGTTTTTACTATTCAAAATTTGACACCGCATTTTTAGCTTGTTTAAAAAACAACACGAAAATCAACTCAAAATTTTCAAAAAATCAAACCACCAGTTTTTCCAAAAAATCTTCTTCCTCACCTGCGTAAACATTTTCTTCCCTTTGACCTCCTCCACTAACGCGACTAACTTTGCCTTCTCATTAATTCTCGCCCTCTCCTCTTTCCTTCGGTTGGAGTCTTGCACGAAAAACTTGAGTCGACACATCGGCGAGTAACACTTGAACTCGTAGTCTCGAACCTTGTTCTCCGTCTGCGTTGCGAATGCCGCCGCCGCCGTTTGACACATGTGCGAGTAACACTTGAACCGATAAATCCCTGCCAAAGGGAAAGAATCGTCCAGAATTTCGTCCCCTTTTTCATCCACCGTTGGTTCTTCGACTTTATTCGGCTCGTCTACAATTTGTCCCCCGGCGTCCACAATTTGCTGAACTTTTTCCAACTTTTCCTTCCCATACGTTTCCAGGAGGTAATCCTCTTCCAATTTTTGCAGAGATATTCGTCTCGCCAAGAGAGAGTCGAGGATGGCAGATTTATGGGCCAATTTCGGATACAGGATTCTATTCGCGACCACCATCCCGAGAGAAACGTTGATCAAATCGGTACGGAATTTACGGTTGGAGGCTGCAAGAGCGTCGGAGGAGGCTGACGTGGAAGGAGATGACGGTGTCGTGGAGGTCAATCGTGGCGCTGGTGGGACTTCGTCCTCTTTCTCCTCTTTGATTTCTACCTTCTCCACGGCGGAGAGTGGCTCCATTTCTGACGACAGGTTAGTTTCCGCCGGAGCAGCTGTAGGAGCATCAACAGGTTCATCTTTTGGGATCAAGGTGCCACATTCGTCCTGATCGTGTGGTTTATCTTCAATTTTTGGATCAATTTCCATCCCTGTTTCGGTCGCAGGAGGAGTCACGTCGTCAGATTGTGGAGGAGGTGGTGGTGACGCTACTACGACTTCGTCACATTTCTTCTCCTCGGGTGTCGACTCGGATTCTTTGTCAGGTTGTGGATCCTTGATTTCTTGACTTTCTGTAGTCGCCTCCTCCTTTTCTTCTTCTTTCACTTCCGGTTTGACTTCCTCCTCTTCCTTCACGGGGGATTCGTCCACCTCCATCTTTTCAACTTTTTCCTCTTTACTCTCCTCACCACCGGCCGTAATTGCGAGCGGTGGTGGGGGTGGTGCTTCTGTCTGTGCTGGTGGAGGAACCACTTTCGAAGGCGTTGTGGCCGGTGTTGATTTCTGGGAAAGGGTTCGTTTCGCCATCAGTTTATCAAACGTGGTGGGATCGATCAGGATCGTTTTCACTTTTCCAGAGTCGTTCTTCACTTGTATCACGTGTTTATAAGGGCCAGATAAGAGACCGAGTTTTCTACAATCTTGCGGCTTACAACGCCTCCCGGTCGACATCCAAATCCATCCCCAGCGACCGTGGATTCGATATTCTTCTCCTTTCTGTTTATAAACCTGGAAATGAAAAGGAAAAGTTTTAGAAATATTTTCAAAAGTAAATTTCAGCTTTCAGATTTTTAAGAAAAATATCAGATTCGATTGCGATAGATACTCTCACACCAAAATGTCAAGATCAAAAGGGTTAGCATCACTTATCAGTTGATAAACAACAGGGTTTCGAAAAATGTGCCGTTTTATTCCCAAAATTACGAAACGAAAAAATCTTTAACGCTCCCCAAATTTTTATCCCGCAGCCCAAATTTCGAAACCCCTAAAATCTGCCCGTCTCCTTTCACCCACCTGATGCTTCGCCGGTATAGAATACTTGACCCACTGCGGCAACAATCTTAATCGATCTTCCTCATCGTCTCGGTCCTTTTTGTCGCGCTTTTCCGCCTTTTTCCTCTCCTCACGCTCTAGCGCGGAGGTGCGGATTAACTTGTGATGAGCGAGCGACTCGGTCCACACCGGGTTGTAGATGCACGATCGCAAACACGCGGCCAGCGTGATGGTCGCCTTTGCAAAGTCTTTCGCCCCAGTGCATCCAGCCACCGCGGAAACCCAAGATTTCCTCATGATACCCCAATTCGTGTGCATGAGCGTTATTGGGACGGCGCTTTCGAGATGGACGAGCGTCGCGCGGAGGGTGGACACCATATTCGTACGCAGCCCGACGGAGGAGGAAAATGAGTTCCATTTCACTTCAGAGGCAGCCGTGAGGGAAAATTTGTGAGACATGTGACGCTTCTTGATGCTCTCTTCGCCGTGTTGAAACTGGAATGAGAAAGAAAACAAATTATATTAAATTAAAACGGTTCAAGTTTCTGGAAAAACGGGATAAGTTAAAGTTTCCATTAAAAACGGACACACTTTCATGAAAAATTATACAAATAATAGAAAAAATTCCCCTCAAACAGTAAAAATACACTTAAATTTCCACTAAAAAATAACACATTTTAGTGAAAGTGTGACAAATACAAAAATCAACACTACAAAAATTAGTAAAATTCCCCTAAAACTGCAAAATAAATTTCCACAAGCTTACAAATCATCTAAAAAGAGCTAATCAAAATTTGAAATTGAACCAATCTCAAATTGTCACCCATTTTCAAACTCACCTTGCTCAAAGCGAGGTTATCCGTGTTATAAATATTCACATAATTTCGATAGTTTCCCTCCTGTCCTAATTTATAGAGGCCGGTCGCCTTGAGTCGTGTCATCCTTTCTTCCGTGTCCCAATCGAGGAGAAGAGCTTTAGATTTTCGTCGACTCACGGGAGCGGCGACTTCTTCTTTTTTAACTTCAACGGATTTTGTGGTCGTATCCGTCATTTTGGGGATGAAGAGATCGTCAGGACCATTTTCAGTAGTGTCCATTTTCTCATCTGTTTGTACTTCCGGTTCCAACTTTGGTATAGTAACGTCTTCAGAAGAATCTATTAGCTGCGTTTCAGCATTGGCGATTTGGGACGCTGATAACAGGTCAGGTTTCGTCATGGTGTCGTCCAGGTCATTTTTATCCTCGTTGCAGTGATTCATCTAAAGAGGGAAAATTCAGAAATTTAATATACACACATTATTTTAAACGCAAGGAACCTTTTACTGTACAGAATTTTGAAGTTGAGGCAATTCAAACTTGTGAAAAAATTTGATTAATGTCGAAATTCAAGAAATTTGGTATCAGTTCAATTCTTGGAATGTTTTCAAAATGTGACAAACATAAATATGTGAAAGGAGTAGTCAGAAATTTCATGTTTTCTTTCTAGTTTTAAATCTTTCTACATAAATTTCGCATTTCTTTTACATATTTTTTTGCAAAATCTAGCCCATCCAAGTTACTCACAAAATATTAAATTTAGTCCTCAGAAACTTAAAATTTGTGCAATTCTCCTACAAAATTTCTCATTTTTATTACCTTTCCCGTCTCCCCACTCGAGTCATCGCCCGACCCTGACGACCCCCCTTTCGGCGTCCCATCCTCATTCCATTCGGCAGGATTATAGTCAACAAACTTGTTTTGATTCCTTCTCAGTAATCGTTCCTCCCGAATTCTCTTCTTTTCCAGCTCTTCCTTTTGCTTGACTTCTTCCTCCTCGGCGGCAGCGGCCTCTTCTTCCTGTTTCGCGGCTTCCAACGCCCGTTCCGCCTCTTTTGCCTGGTTCTCTAGTTCACGAATATGTGCCAATTCGCGATCTTCGTGAATCTTTTTCAAAAAAGCTGGAAAAATACGACCTTCTATTATTCATCTGAGAAATAATACTCATAATTAAAAAAAAATATTATTTTTGCAAACAGATAGTTTTTAATTTCCGTAAATAATCTCTATAAAGCTGGAGTTTTTTGGGGGCTAGTATATTACGATAAAGTATTTATTATCAATAGCAAATATTTGACCTAAACTTTTCTCAAACTTATAAACATGTGCAGATAGTGAAGAAGTCGAGCGTTCTCTGGGCCAGTGTAGTGTTTTATTGTGAAATAAACCTACAGTGCAGACTCCATATAGCCCGAGTCACCCACTCCGATGACCACATCGGTCAACCACTTGACCGATTTCGCCCATCTTCGAACTCGTTTCCTAACTTTGTCCAATATGCATATGGTAAAAATTTCAAGTCAATCGGTTCAGCCTTTTTGGCTCTATCGTGCCGGACAGACAGACAGACAGACGGACGGACATGATGGTTCCATAAGCCCTGACTCGGGCTAAAAATTGCTTTGGTAAATAAGCAATGATAAGTAAAATAATTTGTATATGTCAAATTATCAGTATCTACTCTGCATTAATTTGGGCGCTAGCGTACGTGTCAGCATTGCATATCTTGGGCCGCATTGGAAATGATTGTCCAAGAAAAATGGTACAAGGATCGCGAAATTCGAAGTGTTATATTGGGGGCTTAGCAACTATCTTATGCCTTTTAATGTGGCAGGCAACTGGTTAAATCAGCACTATAATTATGCAAGAATCATTACATTTTCATATTCGAGACAAGATTAAAACATCATTTTTATCGGTCAATTTTAAACTCATGGCTAGATCTTATTTCGCATAGGAAGACAAATTTATGAAAAAAACGTTAACGACATTACTATACCAAAGTTCTGAACTCTCACAAACACAGCAAAAAATTGGGGATAACTCTCAAAATTTTTGAAAACTTGCCAAATGCTGTAAAACTCTGCCTTGTAAAGTATACGCTTTTTCGTCTTATTTCCAAATTAATCAAAATTCATGCCAAATAAAACCTCGCCATGAGTCAGGATTGATTTGCGTAATCCGTTTCTCACCATTCTCCGCTTCAATGTACGTCTTTCGGTGAAGGAGAGAGTTGGATTGTTCCGTAATTTGCTCCGTGACTTCCATCTGACGAACAATTTCGTCCTTGCAGTTTCGAATATTTTCAACAAGCTCGGCCTCGTAGCCCTCCTCGTCCAAGCGGTACAAGAGCTCTTCTACTTGCAGCGGGGTCGAATAGTACCAGACAGACGAGCCGTCCTCACTTTCACTAAAAAAATTAAAACCAAAAAAAGTTAGTAATTGAGATAAACACGAAATATCAAAATTTTTAATGGCAAAAAAACCGGCTAAAATCAAACAAGAACTAGTCACACAACTTTTGTAAACTGTGTAAATATTGTAACATTACCATTATTATTACAATATTACAATATTGTAACATTACCAAGTTTTCAGAGTCTAAAAAATTTACAGTTTACAAACGCTGGTCTGAAACTTAAGTAACTTACGCTAAAATACGTCGAACCAAAAACCAATATTTCCTTCCGTGACGATCATTTCCTAATTTCTCGTGGCGAATGAGCAGCCCAGCTTTCTCTAGCTCTGAAGCGCAGTCAGATATACCGGACATCTAAAGAAACAATTAAAACACAATTAATTTATTCGTCCCCACCGCCTAAAAGTAATTAAATAATTAATTAAACGCGTACATTATTCTTTTTACAGACAGGACATTGCCAGTCATCTGGAATGGAGTCGTCCCCTTTGTACGGGGGAGTCATACAGTATAAGTGGTACACCGCCGGGCACGTTTCACACATGACGACCTCGCCCATCTTATTGCACGATCTAAGGCAAGGAAAAGTATGAAAGTTAGCAAATATTTAGGAAAATGTACATCAATTTTTGGGTATTTTTGCAAATTGTAAATTCAATTCACAATTTTTTAAAATATAATTTTGTCTTCTAAACTCCTTGAAATAATGAAAAATATTATGGTATTTTTTAAAAAATAGTAAAAATATGGTCATGTTTTTGAAATAATGTCTGAAATATTTACAAAATACTGAGATTTATGTAAATCTAGCAACATTTAAAAAATATTTTGAAATTAAAGAGAAAATCAGACAAAAACTAATCACTTAAAATCTTGCAAATTTTCTCACCTGCAATAATCATCATGCCTAATATTCTCACTAACTAGAACATCCCTGACTAAACTGGTCGCTAGGAATTGATCCACCATCCAACTCAAAATCTTAATCCGAATCTCCGCCCCGCCGAAGGGATACTCTCCCCCCGATCCGGACCCCATCTCGGCCAAGACTTCTCCCCAATTAGGATCTGATTCGATATAAGCGCGCAAACATTCCGGCCACGTCAAGTTATCGATAAAATAGAGGACCGCTTGGATCGAATCCTTCACCTCGGCGGGACCAAACATCGTCGCATTTGCCTCCTCTTCACGTAATATCGTTTTTAACAGTTGGATATGAATTTCCGTGAGGAGCGGGGACGTCTCCTCGTTGCCCAGGGCGGCGCAAAAGTCTTCAAATCGGAACGGAGAGAGGCGCACGAGTTGGTGGAAGCGACGAAGGGGTTCATATATCGCGACGGCCTTCATAACCAAATCCCTGGCGAGGAGCAAGTCATCGGACGACTTGGGCAGGTCAAGTTCCTCAATTACGGCGTCCGCCTCCATCCACAAGGGGACAGGGGGCGAGGGGACGCGGGAAGGTGGGGTCGTCGCTACTGCCGTGTCAGAGGAGGACGTCCCTTTAGAAAATTTTATCGAGTAGTCGGAATCCGAGTCGGCTTCGTCTAATTAAAAAAATCATAATTAAGATCAAACTTCATTTTGACCCGTCACATCCTAAATTAACTAACCATTGCCCAGTTCTGACGTGGACTCTGACCCCGAACCAGCCTCGTCCAATTCGGAATCATTCTGATCAGAGAAATCGGATCCGTAATGGTAATCTTGTGAATTATACGCCCCCCTGAGATCAAAGTCACCAATTAAATTTATTTAACTAACTCCTCAATTAATTAATTAGCTATTCCTCACCTCTTCTTCTTATTACTCGACGCACCACCACCCCCGCCGCCACTACTTCCACCCGTACTCCGGCGCGACTCTACCCTCGTCGCGACACACTCGGGGCGTGAACTTTTCCCACTTTTACTTCCCCCATTTCCTGACAGGGGTGTCGACCCATTGTCATGATTACTATGTCTTCCGCCAGCACTGCTGCGACCGCGACCTCGTCCCCGCCCACTTCGACTGGTCGGTGTGCTCCCCGCTTCAGACGACCGTCCGGCGAGATAGGTCGGTTTCTTGTATGGATTTGAGTTATTATTATTTTGATTGGATGTCGAACTCGTCGATGGTGTCGTGGTCGTTGTGGGGGTTGAATTATATAACGAATTCCGCGTCGACCTTCGCGGACGATCCATTTTTTTTAGTTTGCCTGGAAGATGTAATTGCAAATTTTGTATATACACGTAACAACCATTTGCCAACTTTGGGTCAGACTTTTTCCGTCCGGGGCCCATTTTAATTGATTAATTATTAGCACAAACAATTAACTATTTATAATTTAACTTTAGTTGATAAGTTATTAATTATTTATTTATTTTGTGCTGCTGCCTGGGCAAGCAGACAGACGGGCGAGTGCGAGGGAAATAAAGTGAAAGGGAAGCACATGGAGACTTTGTGTTTGTTTGTTTGTCTGTTTCCCGGACGAAAACAAATGAAATGAGAAACTTTGTCGGTCTGCTTCATAGATATAGAGTAGAGTAGATTCGGCTACTTTTGAAAAAAGCGTCTCGGCATGGAGGAGAATTTGGGGATAATTTGGGGATAACGCATGGTTGCACGGCAGCGCATGGAATGCTTAGCACGCTTGCACATCATTAAAAAATTATTATTTGACACCTGTTATTTTTATTTTGGCGTTTAAATCATACGAAATTGAATAATTTAAACGCCTAAATAAAAATAAGTGGTGTCAAATAATAAAATACGGAGTTTAACAAGCTTGGTTTGTGGACACAGGCAGGGTTTAGTCCCACCTCAAAAACATTGCCGAGTTTTTAACATTGACTATATGGAAGAAGCCTGATCTATTCTACTCTATATCTATGGTCTGCTTGTCAACAATGTTTTTGTCATGTAATTAAGATTAATTAATAATTAACTTTAATTAAGATATATATGATGATGTTTTGTCTTATTTAAATTCTAGAGGTGGATATAATCTCAATAAAAAAATATATATTTTCAATACACAATTTTATTTGTTATTTCACAAGTTAATCAATCAGATTGAAAAGCATGTTTAATTCTGGAAATAAATAACTTCTTCAGAAACTTTGAATGCTAAAATTCTGGATCAAACAAAATGCCACGAATGATGTCAGAAAAGTTTCCTCTTTCATCATTCTTATTATTCGAGCAAAGGTTCGGAAAATTACGACCTGCCTCTTTATTATAATTAACCTATCAAAATCCCCAATTAAGTTAATTAACCCTTTAATCGTGGTATGATTACAGAAATAATTCACATTTTTGCCGTTTTAACTAAATTTTGCTCATCTTTATCCTCCCTTTATTTCATGAAACATATAAAATCTCCCTCAAAAACTACAACTTTCAAACCTTTCCGACTTATCAGGATAGGTTATCACATCACAATCTTACCCGTCTTTCATCCCCTCCCTCCATGGAATAAAACATATACAATCCCCCTCAAAAAATACGACCATGTCGACTCATCAATCCTAACTCCCCCCTTTCACCCACGCACATTTCTTATCATGTCCCCTGAAAATTTGACCCCACGACATGCCTCCTCCTTCCATAATTAACAAATTATTCCCTCACCACCCCCACTTGACCTTCACTTCATCATCTCCTCGTGTCGCCACCTCCATCACTCTTGACCTCTCAAATGCACCCCACCTCACCTCATCCCCAATTAATCCCCCCTTCATTATAATCACCATTAATCATTCTCTCAAATCCAAATCCAATCCATCTTCCTTGCTCCTCTCTTCTCAAAAATGCTTCCTTCTCCCCTCAAACTTCATGAATCTACATGAACCTCATGGGGGGGATATCATCCCCCCACCACCACCAATATTTATTATTATCCCACTTCTTCCCATTCAAATCCAACCCCGCCAAGCCAACCAAATACCCGAATCTCGTATTAAAAACAACAACAAATAGAACAATTAACTCTCACCTTTTCTAAATTAGAGTCACCTTTTACTTTTTCATCCCCTTTTTCCTCATCACGCATCCCTTGACCGTGACTGACCTTGACCTAGAAACAAAACCATAACAAAGACACATTTCTTATTACCCAGACAATTCATTCATTCACAACACAACCTGTCTGCTCTTCTTGGGGAGTTAATTCATTCTTTTTTAAGAGGGAAAAACGCTCCTGGTTTTTCTACCCAGGAAGAAAAAAAGAAAAAAGGAAACCGAAATTTCCCCCGAGAAAATTGAGACATTGGCAAAATTCTGGAAAATGCTCTTACCCGACTTTTTCCGGGGGGAGGAGGACACTTGAGTTTAATGATGATTTTTAAGGGTTGTATCCTCAGTGTATAATTTAACTCGATATATTTGCAAATATTTTACCGATTCAATGCAAAAGACTGAAAGAAGGAGGAGAGAAACGTAGAGAGATGGTGATGATTTCAGTTCGTCTGCTCGTGGTGGTGGTGGTCGGAAGGACGCGGAGCAAGAGTGACGATTGGAGGGTTTGGGGGGCCCGCGGTGTGAGTGTGAGTCATGTGACGGGTGGTAAGGGCTGTTCAGAAAATAAAGGGCAAATTTATTATTTTTTGGGGTTTTTGTGAAATAAAAAAAAATTGGGATAAAATTTTTAAATTGGAGAAAAATTTTGGGGAAATTAGGAATATTCAAAGGGAATTTTGTGTTATTGTTTTACATGATAAGTTTTGAATATGAATGAATTGTAACATTTTGTTTTTAATTTATTAGTCCTTCAAAAATTTATTTTATTTTTCGGGTTTTAAGAACACTTATTTTTTTAATTTGTATAATTTTTTTAATTATGGAAATATTGAATAAAAATTGGTACAAAATTCTAAAATTATGGAACAAATTTGTATAAATTGGTCAAGTTCTGATTTAATTTTCTGTCATCATTTGAATATGAATTTGATACATTTTACAATTTTTTAAAATTAATCCTTCAATTAAATTCTACCCGCGTTTTAATCACTTTCACTTTTCAGTTTTTCATAAAATGCATCCTTTCTAATAAATTTTATGAAACGAAGGCAAAATTTTTATGAACCTTCCACCCTCAAAGAACAACTTGTTTCACGTAACTCGATTCTTCGTTTTTAAATTAAGATTAAAATCAGTGCTTCGAATTGACCTCAAATTTCGAAATTTTTCGCATTTAACATCATCCCAAATTATGACATAAATTTAATCCAGACCTAAAATTATTTAGGGTGTCGTAAAAATTTCGCCTTTCTCACCCAGAATACGGCCCTTGTTGAGAAGGTGGTGCTTTGTGAACGAGTCTTTCCTCGCCACTCGACGGCGGAACGGTGAACTCGGAGAGAAATGAGATTTCTCCCCGTGGTTTGTACAAAGTTGGGCAGATGGCGAGACATGGGAACAAAAACTGGTGCGTTTTCATGAAAAATGGTTATTTCTCTTTGTTCTTCATTAAATTTGAATAGTTGCCTACTGCTTAGAAAAGCAGTGTCAAAATTTCATTTTTTTGCATAAAATTGGCAATATGGTAATTAAAATTATCTCCAGTAAGAGATTTAATGAAGAAGCGGAAGTCAAGTTTATTTATTATTTTCAACGATGCATGACCTTACGCCGTGACCTTTTGACCCACCAAGAAATGGATCAAAGATGTTTCCACCACAATTTTTAAAAGTCTAGAAATCGGATTAACAAAATCGGACGAATGGTAAGATACGGGGACAAAAATTGGGTGTGTTTTCATGAAAAATGATGATGATTTCTCCTATTTGTTCCTCATTACCGTTTAAATTTGAATAGTAGAAATTAGCAAAATTTCATATATTTTGCATAAAATTGGCAATATAATAATAAAAATTATCTCCAGCTAGATAATTATATAAGGAAGAAGTGGAAATCATAAATAATTATTATTTGATAAGATGCACAACCTTACATCGCATGACCTTTTGACCCACCAATGATCTCACTATTTCTTTAAAGAGTGGATATCGACTCAAAAGTTGTTTCCTCCATAATTTTTAAAGTTTCAACTAATTTCCTAATTATAACTAATAATAAGTTTAATGTTTCCCCCATAAAAGTCTACAAATAAGATCAGATATGGCGAGACACGGGAACCAAAAAATGGTTGCATTTTCATGAAAAACGACGATTTACCCTTGTTCTTCATTGGTATGAATAGAAAAATCTGGGCAAAATTTCACATAAAATTGTCAATTCTTTCGTACCTATTATGGTCGGCTGACCTTACGTCGTGGCCTTTTGACCTAGCAATTAGCTCCCTTTAAAAATATTAATAATATTATAGTATTCTGTCATTTCTGTCTGATATCATTCTGCAATTTGTCGGCGACACTGGCTAAATCATCTTGCATACTAGTACTTGCTTTTATTTGGCTATATGTGTATTTGTCACTTCCGAGTGTCAATATGAAAGCGATTCACCTATTTCATACAAGCTATTATTATTTGCAAAGTCCAAATTTATCAAAATGACATTGAAATTTTGCATCTTATTTTTTTAAATTTTTTTATAAGCACTGATAAACTCATTCTCAATTTATTATTTTTTGCATAATGCTTCAAATCGTTGAAGTTATTTTTTAGCTTGGGTTTACGTTTTTAGGTAGATTTCGTTTTTCCATTTTGCTAATTTAGGCAATTGTTTTTATTTATCCTAAATTTTTTGGTTTAATTTATAACCAATAACATTTTGGTTACTAAAAACGTCACGTTTGTATTAAGTAAATTAGATAATAATCTAAAATCATAATCGGCACATAAAACAATGTGATAGAAATTTTCTGTGCAAATTCGTTCAGAAATTTTATTATTATAAAACTCTACAACTTTTTAATTTTAAAAATTCCATGCTAGACAAAACTAATCTAAATTATAATTTGGGGTGATTAAAATTCAAGAAAAAATTAAATCCGCCGTGAATTGGAGACAAATTAAATTAAACGATTTATCTTGTATTTATTTAATAATTTCAGCTCATAAATATGTAAATTTATGACAAGTGCTTTGCAAAATTAAAATTCAAAGCCTCGAAATTCATAATTTTCATGAATAATATTAGTAAGGACATGTTATTAAACACAATTTTTCATATAATTTTAATGATTTCAAATCTTTCTATGCATTTTGGTGAGAAATAATAAATATGAAATTCAGTTCATCAATTACTACGAATATATATATATTTTTAAATTTCTGAATCTATTTAATAAACAATTCCAGGTAGTTGACATAATGATCTCTAACATGAATAAAAGTTAATTTGCATTCCAAATTTTCTTAAGTAGCATTAATTAAAAATACCCTAACCCTAACGGAACCTTTAGACAATTTTTTACCATTAACACGATTAAAATTATCAAAATGGCATCGAAGTTTAACATTAGGGAATTTCAAATAAAATTAAATATATGACAAGTGTTTTGTAAATTAAAAATTTGAAAACTCGAAATACATAATTTTGATGAATAATACCAAGAATGGGATGTTCTCAAACACCACATTTTAATAATATTAATGATTTCAAATCTTTCCATGTATTTTGTTGACCAAAAATACATATGAAATTCAGTTCGTCATCAATTTCTAAATATATATATTTTTAAATTTCTGAATCTATTTAACCCTTTAAACTGTGACGACGACAATAGTCGTTTCATGAGAAATGGTTTAATTCGGGAGTACGACAAAAGTCGTCCTGAAAAATCGTGGTCATGGCGCGGAAGGAAGACAATTGTCGTTTCTAGGAGGTCATTGATTTTCACCATTTTCTCTCCGCGACCTAAAATTTGTTGCAATTTGGAGGGATTTCTCCTATGCCAACACAATGCTAAATTTGAAGATTTTCTTCCCAAAAATTTGGATATTTCCCTATACAACTCAATGTTAAATTTTTGAATTTTCAGTTTTTCGAGTTTTATTAAAAACTCCTGAATTTCTCCTCCCGCGCCATGACCACAACATACTTATAGATTTAATGCATTTTTTGTCGTTAATCATACACGTTAAAGGGTTAATAAATAATTACACAATGATCTCTTACATGAATAAAGTTAATTTGCATTCCAAATTTTCCTGAGCAGCATAAATGTAAAAAAAAACTGTAAGGGATCTTTACAAAAATTGTGACCATTAACACGATTAAAATTATCAAAATGCCATCGAAGTTGACATAGCATTGTATTTATTTAAATAATTTCAAGCAAAAATATGTATATGTGTTGCAAATTAAAATTCGAAAACTCGAAATACATAATTTTCATGAATAATACTAAAAATGGGATGTTCTCAATTACCACATTTTAATAATTTTAATGATATCAAACCTTTCCATATTTTGCTGACAAATACTTAATAAATATGAAAAATTTTCTTAATTTTTCTGAATCTTTTTAATAAATAATTACAGGTAGATGACACAATGATCTCTTGCATGAATAAAAGTTAATTTGCATTCCAAATTTTCTTGAACACAATTATGAATTTATATATTTAATTAGACAAACATGAACGCAATTACATATACATAATTAATTAGTCTACATGGTTTTTTGCAAGTACTTATCGAGCTCACTTATCAAGCAGATGAATTGACCCGTTTTACACAAAAGTTGAGGAGACATTTTGGGCAAGGGTGGAAAAATTTGTGTCAGGCCTGGACGTAGAATTTGACAAGGATTGATGATGGTCACCAGTTGCATAAAAGAAATTATGAGCCATTGGGAGAATCACGAGGGCGATAACCTGCAAGAAAATAATTAAACATAAAAATATAATAATATAAAAATATAATTTAAAATAATATTATTTTCAAATAATATTATTTTTAATTTATATTCGAATATTATATTCAGAGGGCGGCTATGTATCAATTTTTCCCCCACTTTTTCATTTCAAGACGAAAGATGGTCAGTGGCCGCGGAAGGGTGGGGACATGTACGGAAATTTTGGAGAATGCAATGCACGTGTGGTCAATTTGAACAATCAGGTAGATTTTGATTTTCCTAAATTTTCTTAAATTTCATTGAAAATTTTGTATTTTTATCTTTCAGACTATTTTATCATACCCAACATTATTCGTTTTTAAATGCTGGATTTTTTTTCGAAAAAGTTTCTTCAGCTGAAAATATATTTCCGAAAATTTTTACGGTCGTGAGCGAGATGATGATACCTAATATTCTTCTTCCGCGGACAATGGTGATGGTCAAACTTTCTGAATGAATATGAGTATGTTTCCTAAATTAAATAGATCACTAAAGTTGAAAGTTTCCAAATATTGTTAAATATTTCTAGGTTTTCAGACATGCAAATATTCCCGCTATTATGTGAAAAATTCGTAAATCTTTTGGATATTTTATTCAAAAATTTTTCCTTCGAAATGTGTGTAAAAGTTCGTAAAAGTTTGTATAAGCTTACATTCCTTACGAAGTTTACAAACTTTGACATGAGTTCCTTCATTGACACTTTCTTTTCATGCGGCAATATGCATACATATGGACGTATATGTATTTATTTACATAATCACATCAAATTTTCATCAAATTTTACTTACAGTGATTATCGTCGTGTTGACAATGGGGAAGCCCCATATAGCGAATTGTGTAATGTCAACGCTGGACAATTCTTCTTTGAAAGTGGTAAATCCACAGTTGGCAGGAAAAGTAGTCAATCCATGGACCCTTTTCTCCCACTCCCACTCCATCACGAACTTTTTAAGCAACATCCACTTGAAATCATAAAACGAACAATATTTTTCAACAAAAACTCAAGCAAGATTTGCCATCAATTAACCAGCGTTAGCTCTCCGATTTCGACAAAATTAGCCCCAATTGATCACAATTTAATTAATGTGAAATTCGCAAATTAGACGTTATCTCCCAATGGGCACTTTTGGCAGAGATATTTGCATCCGAAGAGGAGAAAACGCGCAGTTAATACTTAATTGGCAACTTTAATTAGGGCCCGTTTGCTCCATTTTGGATGCAAATATGCCTCGTGTGACCATTAGAAGGTCGTCTGCAAGTTTCTCAATTTTTATTTAAATTTCTGATAGATTAATTAATACTAATTTTATCAAAATGGGAGCGCGCACGCTGGGAGATTTCCATTAATATTAGAGTTTATTTCTCTCGATTATCACACGAGGTGTGATAATCGAGAAGTTTAAAATAAGTGGGAATATACATAACCAAAGGTCCTAAGTCAATTCACATAACGTACCTTTGCATAACGGCCATATTTCCTAATTTTTAATGTATAAAACTCATTCTACATAACACTCCCAAAGACATAAATAAGTTTCGCAAAATTGCTTCATAATTAAAATTGAAAGAAAGTTGCACTTGGAGAAACTTCCTGAATGGCAGGCATAATAAATAGCTAATTCAAAATCTGAAGCGAAAAGTATACTGAATTTTATAATTTATGCAGACTTTCGACAATTGTGTAATTATGCAAAGTAGGATTTTACATAATTTATAACTATGTAAAATGCCATTATGTCAAATGGTAGTTATGCAGCAGAAATTATGTAAAGTGACCGAAGGCCTTTCCAAACCTCTTTATTAACCAGCGCGAACAGCGTCAAAGTCAGGAAGAAGACCACCGCAAAAAAACCAGCGTCCAAATAATCCGAAATTTGTAGCTTATCACCATAATGAAAAAATGATGCATAAAATTGTAGAAAATCTAGCAGTCCTTCTGCCAGCTGTAGTGTAATCGTAACAGAAAATTTTTCCGACAATAAATTGCAAAATCTTTGCACCAGGTGGATGCTGATTAGTATATCCAATCTGTCTTGATGGCTGGATTGATAACGCAGTCTGGTTCGAGTTATCACTGACAACTTTTTTATGGTACAATAACTCATGATTGATAGTTCAAGCGGAATTAAGTGCAATTGAATTAGCTTGAATGTCAAGAGGTATAGATACATGGCACTGACGAGGACTCGTAAAACGGTGACCCAAGTAGATTCCGGATCATAGGTACACATATAAGTTTTGGTTAGCTTGCAAATCATTTCAGAGAAAACACTTAGATTAAATTTCAAATTATTTGTCTCGTGCACCTCATTAAAGAGGGTAAGATCGTTTGTAAAATGAAAAATAGCTGCGTAGATGATGTACACAATGTTTAGAGATGAGATTGAAATCAGCCCCTGTAATGTGACCAAGTACACTGCAAATGACCCCATCGTCCATTCCGCTCAAAAATAGCTTAAAATACGCACTGTGAAATTTGCCCATAAGTACAGGGTGGTTTAAATGTCAAGCTGAAATGAAAAATTTTTCAATGGGATAACTTTTAAATCTCTATTAGTTACAGGATTTTTTATTGAGATTTTCTTTATTAATTACATATAAATAAATGACGAAATCCTTAAAATAGAGACAAAATTTAGGTAACTATCTGGAATTAAAATTTATGAATTTTTCCCATTGAAAAATTTTGCTTTGAAGCTTTGAAGAAATGAGGACCCTGTATTTACTACATTCGGTACGGAGTAAGGGAGTATTTATGTCAGAAATCTGACATATTGACGCAGCTATTGATTTCTCGGTTTTATCTAATTTGGCTACCGATTGATATTAAAATTATACCGGTCCTAAAAATTTGCTTCACTCTTAGAAAATTGGTATTGAATCATTACCTGAGTACATATGTGACTCTACCGGCATCGGTAATAAATAATGGTAATTATCGTAATGTTATGTTAATGAAAAATTTACCACTCAGGAACAATTTACTATCAATCCGGTAGGAAATTATTACCAAATCAATACCAGCACGGAGTATGTATCTTTGTATGTGACTCAACGAGATTTTTAACAGTGTACCGTGTATACACGGTATTAAGTATTTCAATACCACTTACAATTAGATAGATTCATATAGGTATGAGTACCGCTTGGTGTTACTTTAATACTGCAAGGTTATAAGGCCCCATTCAATTTAGCTTGACAAGGACAACAGCAGTACCCGAGAAATTTCAATGCAGTCGAAACTTAAAATTTAATCTACTAAAAATGGATGTCTCTCAGCGTTTGCTATCCGATTTTGATCAATTAATCGATTGGGTTAGGTCACAAATTTAATTAAGTTGAAATTTGCAAAAGTAAGGATTTCCTAATGCTCACGCAACCGTAGTGGCTCCTTGGTCAAATGTAAAACAAAATAAATCGCATGTGAATCAGCAACAGCGCCCAAATCGTCGTAAGATTTTTTTGGCAACCACCAGCCGCTGGGCTCGCTCACCAGGAAGCAGCTCCAGCAAAGTACAATTTTCCGAGATTACATTATCCGAATGAACCGAGTTATCCTATTATTTAAGATTAGTTTATTTTATTTTGGCGTTTAAATTATTCAATTACTCAAATTCTGACAAATTGAATAACTTGAACGCCAAAATAAAATAAACTAATCTACTCTAATAAAGTGTTAGTATGATCCCTGGGTCCCTGGGTCCGTCTTCGCAATGCAAATTGCCCCATACAGTAGACAAAGAAGGAAGCGGAGCAACCACTGCATGCATGCACTGCACTGCATGAATAAATGAATACATGAACATGTACACCCCACATACATACATCACTCATCAATAGTGGTTATCATGATAAGTGATCGTGATAAACACTATTAATTAATTATTTTAGTTTGAGAAACTCTACCCACAGCGAGTGGCATGTCAATTCGAATGTATTTTTGACGCTGAATCCAACGCCGTCAATGGTTTTGACCTGCGAGGCCCTCGTGACCTCGCCGTGACCGTGGTGTCCAAATCTGGCTTATTCGTGATGTCGCATATCAATTCGAATGTATTTTTGACGCTGAATCCGAATCCGTCAATAGCTTGGCGTTAATTGTAGAAGTTAACGGGGTTTATGGAACTTAACGGGAGCGTGAAGCGTGGGAATTTAAATAGTTAGCTATGCAGTTACTCCCACGCGACGGGAATTTAAGTAATTAGCTATTCAACTACTCCCACAGGGGGGAATCAAATTTTACTGTGACCAGGTTAATTAAAATGCAGTATGACTTGGGCAAACCCTCAGTCTGATGTATGTATGTAGTATGACAAAGTCTCCACTGGGAATTATTTAAAATATAGTATGACGGATTTTTCGCTTTGGGCACACCCCCCACTGGAACTCTAGAACCCGGCCTTGGCCGGGCTATACGCTAGTCTTAAATAATAGGATAATTCGGCTCATTCGGCTAATGTAATCGCGGAAAATTGTACTTTGCTGGAGCTGCTTCCTGGTGAGCGAGCCCAGCGGCTGGTGGTTGTCAAAAAAATCTTTCGACGATTTGGGTGCTGTTGCTCACATCACGTGAGTAACGTGATGATACCCAGTTTCTCATGTAAACTCCACCTTCCAGTTTATATAGTATCTTCTTCCAAGGCTCACGTTTGACAGAGATACATATCTGTGTCCGAGGAGCAAGAAACGCACAGCAACTTTCGACAAGATAAAAGTTGTGAATTTAGGGCACGATTTCTCCCCATCGGGTACGTACAAACATCTCCGCAAAACGTGCACATTGCTAGGTCGTGTATTTTGCAAATTCCATCCTAATTAAATTTGTGATTGATTGAAATTACGCTGGGAGAACTCCATTGTATTAATACGTATTGAAACCTAAGTAAATATTTACATACCGCTGACCAAGTATTGGGTCCAAATTCCCCAAAGTATTCCCAGAACATGGTCCACACCTTGACTCGGGCTCTCGAGAGCCCGAGGAGAGCTCTCCTTGCTTTGAATAAGTTCCATAAGGAGACGTAGGGACGTAGCAATGTAACGTTCCTATGACGCGACGGACAAGTGGAAGTGTCAATCTCACTTTTTCAACTCCAATGACTTTCGTCACCAGAACGATTGTGAGCAGAATTGCCAAAAATACCTGCCCAGTTGCAACACAGGCCTATGCAGATTATAAATTAGTACAAATAATTACCATTATTACAGACTTCCTAAAGGGCTCAAGTTTGTTAAATCAATCCATTCTTTAAGGATGCAGGTTTCCCACACTGTTAAAAATGTCATCAACTTTAATTTGTGTTAATATTCGGGTCACGCTGGCTGGGGTAAAATTTATACGAGTCAGAATTAAAAGCTCTACCCATTACCAGGTAACACGCAAGACAGTGCCAGAAATGGTAAGAGCTGCAAAGTTACCCTGGCTGGCATTGTGAGCAACCCTTATAAAGTTGCCATTAGATTTTAACTCGGTGCGAGATTACAAATGGGCGGGTTTTGGTCGAGGCTGCCACCGCGCTCCATTCATTCTTGTACTCCTATATATATGCATATCTCGTTCCAGCTCGGCGATCTTTGTGAATTTCCAAGATTTAAAAAATTTCTAACGTAAATTTCGAAAAAATGTCATACGTTGAGGTCTTCTTCAATAGTGCGGTTTGGATGATTATATCACCAAGTTTGAAGGTAAGTGAATTTACTTAATAAATGTAGAAGCAATATAGGAATTAAGTATTCCATAAATTTAATTCATGTTAATATCTTTCCACCGTATAAAATTTGTTATTTTTATTAGTTTCCAGATAATCACATTAACGAAGAAGCAGTTTTGGAACTTTCCAACAAAGACATCGTCAACTCGTTCCAGGTATAGGACACAGGTCAAAACTCCTCAAAGCAATTCATCAACTAAAAACTGGAGCCGTCTACGTATGTTTTAAATGTCGAGAGAGTTTTGGTAACTTAGATTTATCTGGGTCACCAGCCGTACAAGCTCTCATTGGGCAATTAATGCATAGATAAATTTGTGATAAATTATTTAGTGCCAACCAACTCTGCGAACACAGCTTATACTCTGAATTATTTAGTCAATTACTTAAGTATTTGTTATTCAATTAATCTATTTGTTAATTAATAAATGGGATAAATATCTTAAAATGCGAATCGATAAATCGGGTTAAGCTTTCATTTACTGCATTTTAATATTTACTACTACCGCAATTAAATTGACCCCTTCCAGGGGAAATTAAACTAACTGAAACTCAGTAAACGTAACCCTGCTCAGCATTGTTACCGCCGAAATGCGTTTACCCAGGTGTGCGTAAACTGCTTGTGGCTCCGAGTAAACTGCGTTACCCTTCTGCCTTCGCGTGCTCTGCAACCCTGTCTGGCGTAAGAGCACTTTTAATCCCACACGGGATGAGATTTTACTCGCACTGGCGTTAAAACTTTTAACAGTGCAGCGAATGAATCCCCAGGGGAGATTTGGTCGCATTATTAATTTTCAAAAATGAAACTTGTCTTCAAAAACTCGCTATTCTGCACAACATTACTACTGTTCAGCCAATATTAATAGTCTGAAAAAATCTGAAAGGTCTACTGGCAGATATATTTCATAATATTTTTAAAAAACCAAATAATCTCTCAGAATATTTTTCAAGGAATTGCGACTATTCAGGTTGAAAGATTCGTTATCAATGTCAAGCAACATGGTTGTTAACTCTTGACAACTCGGGAAAATTCCCTGTGAAATTTTTGCGAGGCAATTCACCAGTCCTTCGTAACTTTCCAAAATCCGTAAACTTTTACAAATATTTCTCAGAAAAATTTGCTTCCAAATTTATATAAGCTTACTCACAACACAATGCACATGACAGACATGTTTCTCACAAATCTTCTTGAATCGTAAGAATTCCCAAAATATGACCACAAAAATGACTTTATTTTTGTAATTTGTGAGACTATTTTGATAAAAAAACAAGTTCTGAGATGATTTAATTAGTTAACAATGAATTAAATCGCGCAAGACGAAAGTGAATCTAAATTGTTGTAAATTTCTCACAATGATTCATTTAAAAAAATGAACTTTTGTTATTTTTTGGCAATTTGTTACGCAAAACCTTAGAATTTTTGCCAAAAGTCATAAAATTAACGAAAAAAGGCCAAAATATGACTGAGAATATGAATTTGTCCCGAAACCCGAAAATATGACCTATCTGAGAAAATATGTTTTGAGCATGAACATTCTCAGAAAGTTTGGGCACTCACTGCAGGTCAATAAATAGATGAAGTCATTTTTACTTCATATCCGACGTATGAGTTGCCTCAATTTAAGAAATCTAAAGGCTTACCTTATACAAAGAAGACGTCTTTCTCCACTCTACAAAGAGCCTTCCTCTCTCCAGCCGAAATCGGACGCGGTCACTTTCTAATAATCCATAAAATCTTATATTATGCCTGACACTGCCTAAGACACATTTTAATTTGAACATCCACGAGTGCCCAACGCCTACTCGGGGTTGCCGAACTGCTTGGAAATTTTCCATTGTTAATCGGTTTAAAAATGTGAGGATTTTGACGATCGAAATTATGCTTTTGTAGATTATGGATACTTAGCAATGCAAAAGTGGAAAGTCAGAATTCTTGATAAGCATCAAGTACTCATCCTCAGATACAATTAGTCGTGAACCTCCATTAATCAATTGATTCACGTTTACTGCTCATTCATCCAGTTACATCCGAGAATAATATTAAAATTTACTAATTCTAATCAACTTGTTCTCACTTTGTGGCATATGCATGGGAAGCTGATGAGTGCAGCAGAGTGTACCTTGGTTAATTAAAAAGGATGTTTCAATTACAACCACGGAAGTAGTTTGGCCAGTGACATGTGTAGGTAAATAAATGGAAATATACGGGGAAAAGTAAGTGAAAGTGGGACACGTATGAGAAGCAAATAATAAAAAATCGCATTAAATAACCGCTTTGTACATATGTACATGTATAGTTGTACGGTTTAATTGCGTACTAAAATTACATTATTAACGAGGGTCAGCTGCTTCCTGTGATCACTTTGTCCATCCGTCTGTAAGCAGGACATCGCCTCAATGTATGTAATCAAATGCTGACGCATAAATGAGTGAGCGTAGGTAAGTAAATATGTATGGGAACGAAGAAATCATTCTTTACATGGAAATTGTAGTTTAAAAAATGTTGAATTCATTTATATTCAATATTTCCAATGCTGTCTGTTAAGACCAGAGATTTTTAACAAATTCGGGTGGTTTTATATTTTGGAAATTTAGATGGACAGAGGGAAAACCTTGCCATAAAAAGGAAGGAAAACCTCCGCCAGTCAAATGTAGACCCCATTTGGCATCTATGTAGTTGAGTTTAATTAATTGATATTGTGCTAGCTGTGTCAAGTCAGGGTTGTGGGAGTGGTGGTACAGAATCGTTATTTAATTGGCGAAAGAATCAGCATTTGCCACTACCGTTAGTGCAGGGGCTTCGACGATTACGAGAATTTCCTCCTGACCGGCGGAAGCGTGGGATGGCTTCCGCATCCGCCATCATTTCACTCTCTGCTGCCGACCCCACAGCGCCTAGAGAAAGAATAAATAAGGATTTAATTTTCGGATGCAAATTATCATGTTTTTTGCAACACTTGCAAAAAATAAATGCAAGAAAGAAGTGGTTCTTTGCAGCTAATATTTTGACCTGTAGGAAATGCAAGGCGAAACAATCTACGCCCCACAGCTATACGGCTAAATGGCGCATATTTTTTGCAGATTCTGGCACCTTGAATTTCTTACTTTGCAGTGCAAACCCGCAAAAAACGAGACGCCGGTTGAACAATTATTTATCTATCATGATGTATTTAATATTTAAGAAAACCGATAAGAAATGTACGAAATATATTAAAACTCATAAAAAACGTTGAACAGATTTTCGCGTATGTTAATAGCGGGAATAATATTTAATAAATACGACCGACGCGACGGGAATAATAACGACGGATGAGTTATTAATAATGGTATTAAATAGTTATAGTTATTTAATAGTTATCTAATTGAAAATCAATACATATCCGCCCTCTGATAAAACTTACTCAGAACATCTACCGGAACGGCGCTTAAGTCTCCAATCAACATCACCAGCATCACTGCCACAAAGATTCCAGCAACCTTATTCATTTCTCTGGGGAAAGAAGAAATATTTGTCTTAAGGTCGCATTGCAGGTGGATTATTTGAATTTAAAATTTTGTGCCTCACCTGTCCCTTCTCCATATATATATATTCAATTGGGGATCTTGAAACCTTTTCATCTCTTTTTGTGGAGATGAAAAGGTCTCAAGATCTCCATTTGAATAAATGGAGAAGGGAAAGTTGAGACAGAAACTTATAAATAAACCCTTAATTATTTATTAATTAGTCTATAATTTTAAATGGACCCTTAAAGATTACAACAGTATTCCGACTTTCCAGAAATACTTACCAGGAATTTTGTTGAAATTAACGAGGATTACGAAAGTTGGGAAAGATTTGTTTGCTGCTTTGACTTGCAAAAAGTATTGACCTATTAGTGTGGATCTTTAGATTTTATACTTTTGAGAACAAGGTTTTCGGGCTGTTCGACGTAATAGAAAACAATGCGATACATATGTAAAAAACCCTGGAAAAAATTAAGGGTTAATTAAATTCGGAACTTTTGCATTGTTTCAAACTTGAATTTATACGTCAGGCAGCGTAAGAAGCAAATGCTTTGTTTGCGAAGAAGCATAAAAAATAATAATAAGGGTACGTGCATAAAATACGTCACGGGGCGGAGGGGCCAACTTGCGCTACGTGTTAAAATGGGGATGTAATCCAATTACGAGGGTGGAGGGAGGGGTAAAAAATCACTGATTTTTCGTTACGTATTTTATGAACGTTCCCTAATTTACGTATTTCATATCAAAATAATATTAACGTTATGTAACTTTTGAAAAGAACAGTTTATGCATAAGCAAAAATTAAAATTCACAAGGTTAAGATATGCTTGTGTTGACCAGGGTGAGGGCTTATGGAACTGTCAAACTGGTCTGTCTGTCCGTCCGTCCGTCAGAAACACGATAGAGCAAAAAACGGAAGAATTTCATATGCAAAGCTAGGAAACGAGTTTGAAGATGGGTTGACCGGTGGGGGTGGTCACGTAACATATTGGGTGAGGTAACACTCTAAAAAATCTGGTGACAAGACCATTTCCGACTGTATTTGAGTCGGCCGCTGTGGTAATAATTTGCTACCGAGTGCTGGTAAGTTCGTTACCGCGCTGGCATTTGGTAATAAGTGGAACCGAGTAAAAAAATACCAAAGCGGTAATCTCTGTAACAAATTTATTACCATTTAAAATGGTGAAACCAATGGGTTTGTTCATCTACAACTCATTAAAACTAGGGCTATCTAATTAATTTGTCCATCTAATTAATTATCTATTTAAATAGTATGTTTAAACTAATTATTAATTAACGTTAAATAGTACTACCGAAGCTAATTTTAATTACTAATTAATTAGAAAATCACTAAAAATTACCAATTAATTAGTCAATGTTCAAATTTATTAGCTAATTAATTGGCTTAATTAGCAACCCGAGTTTAATTACTACTTATATACCAATTAATTAGACAAAATATTTTCCTTCTAATTATCAATTACTATAATTAATTAGAAACGCGTCAAATTAAAAAGCTCTGATTAAAACCCAAAAAACCAACGTAATACAACCAGGCCGGAATTAGTGGTCTCAACGGTGCGGTTCGGTTCGGTTCTTGGAAGAACCGGTTTAGAACCGAGAACCAGAATTGAAGAACCGAAACAGAACCGAACTTTTTTTAGTTGGAACCGAACCGCAACCGGACCAAACCGGGACCGAACCGGCGGTTCGGGTCAAACCGGTAGTGTTATTAATATGCAATAAACAACAAACAATGCTAATTGACGTGTTTCTGATGAAATTTCACATATAAGCCAATAACTTATCTGTATTTAAACAAGCAAATTCGAATACATGTCAACAGCAAAACCACTTATGTATGTATTATTGAAGTTAGAAAACAATTCCAAGTTTGGGGTGCAACCAAGTCAAAATTTCATTTTGGAAACATTTGGGGTGTGACCAAGTAAAAATTTCATTTAGGAAACTTTGGGGTGTGACCAAGTAAAGATTTCATTTTAGAAACTTTTGGGGGTAAAAATTTCGTTTATGAAACTTTGGGGGTGAAAATTTCATTTTGGAAACATTGGGGGTGTAACCAAGTCAAAATTTCATTTAGGAAACTTTGGGGTGTGACCAAGTAAAGATTTCATTTTAGAAACTTTTGGGGGTAAAAATTTCGTTTATGAAACTTTGGGGGTGAAAATTTCATTTTGGAAACTTTGGAGGTGTCATCAAGTCAAAATTTGGTTTTGGAAACATTGGGGGTGTGACCAAATGAAAGTTTCATTTTGGGAACTTTGGGCGTGTCATCAAGTCAAAATTTGGTTTTGGAAACATTGGGGGTGTGACCAAGTCAAAGTTTCATTTCGGGAACTTTGGGGGTGTGGCCATGTCAAAGTTTCATTTTGGGAACTTTGGAGGTGCGGCCACGTCAAAATTTCATTTTGGAAACTATGTGTATTTCGGGAAATTCGTAAAACTTTTTCGAAAATATGATTAACTTCGCTAATGTATTTATGTATGAAGTTCGGTTCAACCCGAACCGGCCGGTTCGGTTCGGTTCTCAAAGACTTGGAACCGGAACCGAACCGGTAATAAAAGTTTCGGTTCGGTTCGGTTCTCCGTACCGAGCCATCGGTTCCGGTTCGGTTCTATGAGAACCGAGAACCGTTGAGACCACTAGCCGGAATACACCGATTATCACAAATATTCCCTGACTCGGGCTAAATGTACGCTTCACAATCAAGGTTTTACCCCGTGTATGTAAATTTCCAGCGTAATTATTACCGCATAATTGTTCGTTGTCCTTTATACGTATGACTCCTGGTTCCATTTTATGTATTACATGTTCCATCGTACTTAAATATTTGCACTCATCCATTGTGTTAATAAATTCGCAATAAATTCGCATTTTGAAGTCGTGAAGGTTATTTGGAATTAATTAACCGAGATGTAACAAGTTTCCAACGGGTGAAAAAGTTTTGTAAAATTATGAATGAAAGAATTGAAAAAATTGAAATAACGTGAGTAATTTAATAGATTTTATTTCGTTACGTTTTGAAAAATTATGAAAAAATGAAAGAATGACGAGTAATTTTATGGATTTTACTGCATTACAAAAACGCTCGTGGTTTACAATATTTCACGACAATCTACCAAACTCTACGCATAATAAAAGTAACTCTTTGTAATAAAACTTTGTGCAAAGTTTGTAAAATTTTATAATAATAATCTCTCATACTTTTTTATTTCGAAAAAAAATTGCAAAGCTACACAGTACCTCAGGTTCAAAAGAATTCTTCAATACAATTTTTATAAAATTACGAAACAAAACTTTTTACATAACGTAAAATGAAGTTAACATGTTTATGGATTGTATGTACAGAATTTTACCGCGTTACAAAAACCTGCGTTATAATGGGTCACCACAATCTTCAAATTTTTCTGGTTCCGGATCTACGGCGATAACTTGATAAAGCAGAGTCTTGCATTTCATCAGGCTGAACGAGTTATCAAAAATGAAGGAATACGTCCCCGTGACTTCGCAGCAGTGGGACCCTTCCTGCACCGCCTTGTGCGCATCGACCCGAGAATGCGGAACGATAATAATGGCAACAAGATCGTCCTTACTGTTACTTCCGGTGGCACAATTATTATTGATTTTGTTACTCGTCGTGGCAGAATAATTATTATTGGCAACAAGGTTCACTTGGAATGCAATGTCGTGATTGTTTGTTTTGAATTTCCACTCTAAAACTGTACTTTTCTCGGTGACTTCAACCGTCTTAATGAACTTGTCCCTCGCGTTGACAGTGGTCGTGTGGAAGTCGGCGTCCCCGTCGGTGATACCTATGTCAAAATGACAGCGAAAAATTATGTAAAAAAAAATACTGCAAGAATTTTTTTTGCAGGTATAATTTTTGCAAGAGTGAAAACAAGAAATTATATTTTTGCAGGTATAATTTTTTGCAAGAGTGAAAGCAAGAGCTATTTAAAGGAGAATAGTAGAAAAGGTGACGCCTATTTCTTCTCAATGTGCATTTTTTGCACCTTGAATTTTGTGCACCTTTCATTTCTTGCCCCTTGCATTTTATGCAATTTCTTTACAGGACAAGAAATATAGAAAACGAGCAAAAAATCAGACATTGCATTTAAATAATGTTCTTCTAATTTAACTAGAATATTAGTAATTACCTCGCATTAGTGGTCGCATATCTTTAGGTCCTTGTAGCCACATTTCGTGTCCGGAACAATACTCGTCCACACCTTCGAGAGTCCCGCCCCAGTGAACGGGAATATTTTCTACGGGAAATTTTTGTCGGACGACAGCCTTCCACTTTTCAGGGTCCGGTCCTGCAAAAAAATAGTATTTGCTGTAAAAAAAATATTAGCAAGAAATTACATGTTTGAGCATACTTTCTTGCAAAAAAATGCAAAAAATTCAAGAAATTACACTCTCATATAACGGGTCACCCTCGAGGTGGCGCCTATTTTTTTTGCACTGTGCATTTTTTTACAGTGCAGCGCAAGAAATGACAAATTAATGTGGAAATAATTAAAAATTTATGAAGTAAATATATCTTACCAAAAATCTCGACTTTCTCTAAAGTACTTTTTGGGATGACTACTTTTAACATGGAGAACAGGGTGACGAATATTTTTGGAGCGTTGACTATCATCACGTATCGAAGCACTTCTGGATAATGATTCCCCATTTGGTGCTGCATTTTTATTATAAATTCACGACACAGTCTGGATGACATTTGGCGATATGAAAACCTGTCGAAAATAAAAATAATAATTCATTAAGTTAAAACTCTAAATTAATCACGACATACAGTGTTTCGGGTACAAGTAAAGTAACCACTTGTAAGAAATAACGGAAAGAAAGTGGCTTTTGCAGAGACCTGCAAGAAATGCAAGGCGCAAGAAATTACGCTCCGCCGCTATATTTGTAATTCATACGGCGCATATTTTTTGCAGTTTCTGACACTTAGCATTTCTTGCACTCTGTTGCACTTTTACGCACCATATTTTTTGCACCTTGCATTTCTTGCACTCTGGTGTACCATAAATTTTGTGCACTTTTCATTTCTTGTACCTTCTTTCTTTGCAGTGCAAAAAAAAGTACATAGCAAACCCGAATGAACCGAAATAATGCATTTTTTCACAAATCTCAATATTCAACTAACTAGTGTTTCTCAACGGGTACGAAATCCTTCATCCGAACCCGAACCCGAACCCGATATCTTCTACCCGAATCCGATAAGTACCCGAACCCGATAATCCGATTTGTTTGGGGAACGATCCGAATCCGAACCCGAACCCGATACGCTTCATCCGAACCCGAACCCGATACCCGATAAGTACCCGATAAGTATAAAATAATTGAGCGTGTGAATCGAATAACGACTTGTCAACAAACTCATTTTTTTTCTTCTGGTATTACCATGGATATTTTAAAAAATATTCAGAGGTCAATTATTTATAAAAATGATTTTTATAAAGTGTTCACTCTTAGATTTTAGCCCGAGTCAGAGGGTCACATCCGTATGTCTGGTTTGTGATAACTCTCTTTAAGCTAATCCGATCGTCTTGAAATTTTGCACACAAGTAGTATGGGTAAAAGGAGGAGTTATGTTCGAAGATAGGCGAAATCGGTTGACCGGTGGGGGTCATCTGGGTGGGTGGGGTACTATGCACCAAAATATCAAAATTGCAGTAGAAAGCTGAAATTTGGTACAGATGGTTCCTAATGGAAGAATATGAATTCAAAATAGAAAAATTATGATCTGAAGGGACCCGAGGGGGTGACCCACACCGACTTTAAAAATCGTAAAATTTAAATTTGGCGTTGAGGTTGCTAATGGGTTGTAATGGAAGAGGATACATTGGAATTAAAAAAAATTCATCTTCAAATTCTTGAAGGACTCTGTCGGGTGACCCTCGCCGATTTTCAGAAATTAACATGGAAAGCTGGAATTTGGACCAGAGATCCTTATTGCTGATAACTGTAATATAGAGTCAAATATGAACTAAAATTAACCAGAGGGCACTAGGGGGTACCAAATACCGATTTCTAAAAGTTGATATAATCATCGTAAATTTAGTATGGAGTCGAAAATACTTATGATTAGCATATGGGATGGTTGAATTTCGAAATTTTTATAGGGGCGACCTCTACTGGTCGTGGGAAGTAGTCAAGGGTAAGGGATAGTAAATATTTGTAGAATTTGAAGCCAAGTATATGTTTTTAAAGAAATTTTTAAAACCTACAGTGCAGACTTGATATAGCCCAAGTTGTGGTTAGCATGAAATTTTATCATAAATGCATGTAAAACAATTTTAAAATTTAAATTCATACTATTCGAATAGTAACAATTAGGAGCCTGTGTAGCAAATTTCAATTTAAAAAATCTGTATGGGTCTCTCGTCACCAATACGGCCCCTCCAGATGAAAATTGTTCCTATTTGAATTCATAATATGAATTTCATATTGTCCCATTAGGAGCCATTATAAACTTCTCTACTAAATTTCAGCTCGATTTGATTTTGAAAAATTAGTTTGGGTCACCTCATAGGGTCTGTCCAGTTGAAAATGTGTTTAATTTCAATTTATACTCTTCCATTAGCAAACCCCACACCAATTTTCAGTTCGATTGGATGTTTTAAAAATCGGTATGGGTAACGCCCAAGAGTCCCTCCAGATGAAAATAATTTTTGAAATTTTACTTTATATTCTTTCATTAGAAACCATTATCAACCTCTGTACCAAATTTCAGCTTTCTGCGACAATTTTGACATTTTGGTGCATACACCCCACCTACTCCGATGACCCCCACCGGTCAACCACTTGACCGATTTCGCCCATCTTCGAACTCGTTTGTCCAATATGCATTGGTAAAAATTTCAAGTCAATAGGTTCAGCCGTTTTGGCTCTATCGTGCCGGACAGACAGATGGACGGACGGACATGACGGTTCCATAAGCCCTGACTCAGGCTAAAAATTTAAGACCTGGGTACCGTTTTAGGCCTTTTAAGATGGCCTTATAGATCTGTCAAGATGTCTGTCTGTCCGTCCGTCTGTCCGTCCGTCTGTAGGCACGATAACTCTCTTTAAACAAAAGCTATCGACTTGAAATTTTGCATACTTCATCTTCGGGTAAAAAGTAAGGATGAGTTCGGAGATGGGCATGATCGGTCAAGTGGTTGGCCGGTGGGGGTCTTTTCCACCCAAATGTGTTGCCATTGACTACCAAGATGTCATTAATGCCATCTTAAAAGGCTCCACAAAGTTACTTGAAGTAGGTTTTTGTATCATATCCAAGGTGATATTATTACCAATGTTCAGAATAAAATGTTGGAGTTTGTTGACAAGTCGTTATTCGATTCACACCCTCAATTGCATACACTTATTTGTATATTAATTAATTTGTTTCCAAATTATTGTTGAAACAGTTAATAACTAATGACAACTTTGAGCTTCAATTTTATAATTTCGATTTGTTTGTCAAAAATGAAACCAGCTTTAAATTGTATAACTTTTTATTTCTTCCACTAATATCGATCACTCATGAGTACTATTGTTCATACTATTGTCATAATATTTGTGGAACTGTCATATAATATGTAACTCAAGATAGAAAGGCAGAAAGAATAAGATTAGGTCCTCAATCTCGCCCATGTTAAAATTTCAATCGAGTAATATGTACATGGAATGGTGAGGGAGGACCTAGAAATGGTTAAAATTTGGTTATTTATCTTATGAACGTTCTATTAATTGAAGGACATATTGATTTTAAACAACTGCCAATGTTTAAAAAAATTATTGTGGGACTTAAATCTTATATTTCAATTTTGAATCGGGTTTTCGGATGATCCGAAGGTAAATCCGAATCCGAACCCGATAAGAATCGGATACTGAAAGCGTGATCCGTATCCGAACCCGATAACGTTCGGATACAGAAAGCCCTATCCGAATCCGAACCCGAACCCGATAAAAACCCGAAACCCGATAACGACCCGAACCCGTTGAGAAACTCTACAACTAACCCTTCCGAATCCGCAATTTCAATCATTTGTGTAACCCTCCTTCCACGTCTTGCCCCCTCGTCTCGCATCAATTTTAACAGCATTTCCATATTCCTCGTGTCGCAGCGTTCCATTACTTCCGAGCCATACTTTTCCAACCCGTATCGCAGGTCGTGTCGTCCAAACGGAATGACAAAAACGGCATAACCCTCCCCCGAAATTCCGCAGTAAGCGATGGGTGCCCTCTCCCGTAAATCTTCTGGGACGTCGTCGCCCCCTTCCAAAATGGTGTCGATGTCATTCTCCTGGCGCCACTGGAGAGAAGATCGTAACATTTCTTCCGCCTTGGTCACGTCCAAATTTCTCGCTCTCAGCCATCGAATCAGGAATGAGTCGTCCTTTTGGTCTTCGGTTAATAAAATGTCGCCAACTTTTTCTCGAAATTCGGAAAGTTTCTGAATTTCCAGGTCCGAGTAGGCGTCTGATGGAGGGAGCGTGGAAGTTCTTCTGGAGGTGGTCATGGTGTGTTTTAGCTGAAAGTATATCAAGCGGATTATTTATGACGGATTATGACGGAAGGATTGTGAAATTATTATGACGCAAGTCATCCAGTCATTGACAATTTTGTAAAAAATGCGTAAATTCCGTTATTTTGGAAAATTTTACTAATATTTTGAAGGAAAATTAGCTCACAATTTTTCGGATTATGACGGAAGGATTATGACGTGACTGCAAATGCAAATAATTACCGGGACATATTTATTAATGAGGTAATTCACGCAGGCCTTAGTAACGTTTTAAACGTTTTAACATTTTAAAAATTATTTTAAAATTGCAATAGTTCAATCGTATTCGTACGTCACTTTGCAAAAATGAAGTTGAGAATAGTGTCTATCTCTGCTCAATGATTAAGATGAGCATCATCCCAAACAGAATTTTATCACAAAAAATGACCACAATGCAAACGCTTGCCACTTCTCCTCCCCCTCCAGAACCAATCAACCAAGAGGTCGAAGAAACTGATCACTGCCCAATCTCTACATGCCCTGGAGCAAGTTATGTTGAGGGAGATGACTGGATACTCTGCGACCAATGCACAAAATGGTATCATTTGAAATGTGTCGCACTTTCCGACGTTCCAGAGGAAGATTGGCTTTGTCCAAGTTGTGTCACCTTTCTCACGCCTACACAATCATCCACTTTACTTTCTCCTGGTCATCATAATCTTACTCTTTCATCTGGTGGAAATAAGAAAGCAGCAGCAAAGCGGTGGATACAGGAGTCTCTCGTTGCTGTCGACCCAACGGCTCATACGGAAATCTACATTAAAAAGACAGACATTTTTTCCCGTTATTCCACATTTCTCTGTCAGTCTACAGATCCTGGAGTCACCAAAGCCACGCTCGGAATATATCCAAATGGCATTCCCAAACACCAAAAGTCGGCGCCTGGGCTCAAGAGGGAATTCCCACAATGTATATGAAGGTATCAAATGGGCAGACACGCCTCCACCAGATCCCCATCAAGAAGGTCAAAAGGATTTGGGTGAAATTCTTTCCGGTTTGAAGATGTCAACACCCACCCTGCGCAGAGTACCACGAGGTGCCAGGATGGCCGTCGCTCATTGCCTCACCAAAATTCTCAAAGATGTTGTCGAGTCAGGTGATGAACAAAGTTGGAGAAAGCTGCTACTATTCACATATGCCGCACTTCCCATCCCACAGAGAGCTGACAGGGTCAAGAACTTGACCACTTGGGTGAAGACTCGTACTGCTGCATGGGACGCTTTCAACGAAATACGCAGGGACAATCTTCTACACACCGTCCGAGACCACTTTCCTTCAATCTATGCCTTTGTCTCGCAATGTTACACCAACCCTTCGTCACTTTTCTACGGGACAGTACCCCTCCCTTCGCTACTAGGCTGCCATCAGGGCGACCCTTTGGGCCCGGCCCTCTTCTCCTTGGTGATCCACCCCATCGTTGAATCATTGGACACGGAACTGAACATGTGGTACCTAGATGATGGCACTGTAGCTGATATCCCAGAGAAAGTGTTAGCAGCTCTAGAGACAATTTCCAAAATGGGTGAACAAGTTGGTCTCCACCTCAATCGTGATAAGTGCGAAGTGGGTATTCTGGGAGCAGATCGAGACACCGCCATCGACATTCTCCGTCAATTTCAACTCCAGGCTCCTGGGATACAAGTAATGTCCCCCGAAAATGCGATGCTTCTGGGTGCCCCTCTCACGATCGTCTTGGCCACAAAAACGGAGCAGTTGGCTACTTTCTCCCGCCGACTCAGTAACCTTTCCAGCCATTCAGCCTTTTTCCTCCTCCGAGCATCAATCTCTATTCCACGCCTTATATATTTTCTCCGTTGTGCCCCAACGTGGAGAAAGTTGGACGCTCTTACCCACTACGATGCTGCTCTCAAGGACGGGCTGGAGGCGATCCTGAATTGTTCTCTTTCGGATGCTGCCTGGATACAGTCATCCTTACCTGTGAAGGAAGGCGGATTGGGGGTTAGACATGCTTTGGATGTGGCGATACCGTGTTTTCTTGGGTCCGTCCACAGCGCTTTGCCCCATGTAGAACGTCTCCTTCCAGTTTATCTACATAACACTGACATCGCCATGCAAGAGGGAGAGCAGAAATGGTCCGCCTTTGGACCCACGGAACTACCCCCCGAAACTGTCAGAGGAGTCCAGGGCGCATGGGAGCGTCCAATTCTGGACGTCACTGTGTCCCAACTTTTGCTTGACGCTTCAACTCCAGAAGACACTGCCCGCTATAGAGCACTACGCGACAAATTTGCCGGGGCCTGGCTCAACTCTGTTCCGTCCCCCCAACTTGGTACCCTTTTTTCAAATGAGGCTTTTCGCGTCGCAATCTCCCTTCGTTTGGGTTGCGACATCTGTCAACCCCACACCTGCCCTTGTGGAATTCAGGTCAACTCGCGAGGCTATCATGGTCTCTCCTGCAGGCGAAGTGCTGGGCGGTGGTCACGCCATGCTGCCGCTAATGATCGCGAGAGCTTTGCGTTCCGCCGAAGTCCCCTGCATTTTAGAGCCGGCCGGATGCTCCCACCAAGACGGAAAGCATCCCGACGGTTTGACCCTCGTCCCCTGGGCAAGAGGAAAATCTCTGGTTTGGGATTTTACCTGTGTGGATACCTACGCCCCTAGTCATCTCCCCAACACAATCCGGCACCAAGGCGCTGCTGCTACCAAAGCAGAAGACAAAAAGAGACGATATTACGCTTTTCTCGAGGACCGCTTCATTTTTATGCCCGTTGCAATTGAGACGACAGGTATATGGGGGCAAGAGGGATTATCTTTTATTAAAGACATTGGTCAACGGATCGCTGCCACGACTGGAGAACCACGCTCCACAATCTTTCTCCTCCAGCGATTAAGCATTGCAGTTCAACGTGGGAATATAGCTTCAATCCTGGGAACCCTCCCACCAGGAAAAAAATCCAACGAAATCTATTATATTTAAAACTTTTTCATTTTTAATGACATTGTTAACAAATTTGCATGTCTTGATAAATGTAACCAGTAACGTTACAAATTCCGTAAACTTATAATTTTTTGAAATATGTGCAACTTGACGCCATTAAAAATATATTTAATATATAACTTTTGACGTGGGAATCTGTAGATAAGGTAACTCTTTGTTTTGAAGGAAAATTAGTCTCCAAATTTTTATAAGCTTATTCAGATGAAAGGCATCTCTTTAGTACTCTTTATTTTGTAAAGGCTTGTAAAAGTATTTTACAAAATGAACGGATTTTACAAAGTTACTAAGGACTGCGTGAATTATTTGTAAAAGATGTAAAATTATTTTACAAAAGGACTCATTTTACAAGTTTCCAAGGGCTGTGTGAATTGTCTAAATATCCGTATTTTATGCATTTGCTGAGATAATAATTTGAAATTTTACAGCAGTGCAGCCAGAAAATTTGTGATTTGTTCTATTTAAAAAAAACTGACGTGAAATGTTTTTTTTACCTCCGGTTCCAAAATCAGGTAACACAATTTTTTTCTGTGGTTTTATTTCTTGACGTGTATAATACAACTCTTCCTTATAGAAATGATTCTCTACGATTTTTCGTTACCGGAGCACAGATTTTTAAAAATAAAAAACACTATTTTACAAAGTTCACTGTTATCGGGGAAAATTTTATATAATTCGCCACGTGTTTCAGGTTACGTAACACGGAAAATGTAAATATGTGTGTATATGCAATGAATGAACTGAATCACAGCAGTAGAATGGACATGTGTTCCCATAAAATCAATATCACACTAAACACTACTACATTTTAGTATATATGGACTTACCACAACTGGACTGAATCAAAGTTCAAATTCCAAAGTTTTACTTCCCACAGGTTACCTATTTATTTACTGATTTACTTGAATGCTTCTTGTTGGCCTTGAACAAAGCGGAATGCAACTGACGATGTATGTACCTTGGAAGAAGATACTATATAAACTGGAAGGTGGAGTTTACGTGACAGACTGGGTATCATTACGTCAGGGTTCGGAAAAACCCAGGGTTTTAATCAAAAAGTAACGACCCAGGGGTTTTAATGGGTTTTAATGGGTTTTTTGGGTTTTAATGGGTTTTATGGGTTTTATTGGGTTTTATTAGGTTTTACATAAGTAATACATTGAACAACAATTTTCACTACTATTGCAATCCAATTTCAATTAATATGCAAACCCTGCTTGACCATGTTAGAATTTGTATCCGTTTCGAAATAGTCCTGTTTAACTGATCATAATTTAATACTTTATGAGAATATATATTACCTTTTTCTCGAATACTTCCTCTCATCATAATGAAATCCAAGTTGTTTAAAAGTTTTTAAAATTTAATATTTCAATGGGATCTTAACGTGTATTATCAATTCTGGAAAAAATCGAGTACTTATGAACAATGAAAGTACGTATGTATTATGATCGAGAATATAATAAGTGCTTTTTACAGACACACTTCTTTTGCTCATAATAAAGTACTTCGCTGTCAATAAGTACTCGATTTTTCCAGAGGTGATAATTAAGATCGCCTTGAAACATTTTAAAAAACTTTATAAATTAAAAAATACTACAGTATTTTGTTTAATTTATTCGCTGAGATGAGAGGAAGTATTCGGGGAAAAAGTATTAATTATGACAGCAAAATGTAAATTAAATGTAATTAAATTATGTATGTTAAAAATAAGCAGGTCATTTTTAGTAATGCATAAAATATGCCTTATGCATCATAATCATGGTTGTACTGGTATTTGGAATGGTATTTGTTATGATTAGTAAGATCCGGAGGATGTTTAAGTATATGAATTCATCATGTATATATAGAGGTTATGTGCAACATAATAAAGTAATTCTCAATTCACAATTCTGAATTCAACAATGTATGCTCAGTTAAACATACCTCGTTCCGAAATTATTATTTTTAAATATTTTTGTCACTTGAAACCTGTAATGGCACTCGCTGATTTATTCCTGGTTTTTAAAACTTACAGGATTAATCAAATAAACTGCTTAGCTGCCATGAAACAACTTCGTCTAACGTACGACAGCTGTTTTCAGCTTTTAGAATATAGTTTTAAGCTGAAACACAGTTAAAACCCATTAAAACCAGAATAAAACCCATTAAAACCCAAATAAAACCCATTTAACATGGTAAAACCCAATGGGTTTTATTCGTTAACAACCCATTAAAACCCATTAAAACCCAAAAAACCCAACCCAATAAAACCCTGGGTCGGAATACCCTGCATTACGTTACTCACGTGATGTGAACAACAGCGCCCAAATCGTTGAAAGATTTTTTTCTCAACCACCAGCCGCTGGGCTCCGCGATTACATTACCCGAATGAGTCAAATTATCCTATTATTTAACATTAGTTTATTTTATTTTGGCATTTAAGTTATTCAATTTGTCAGAATTTGAGTAATGTAATCATTGGGGTAATGTAATCGCGGAAAACTGAACTTTGCTGGAGCTGCTGCCTGGTGAGCGAGCCCAGCGGCTGGTGGTTGAGAAAAAAATCTTTCAACGATTTGGGCCCTGTTGCTGATTCACATGCGATTTATTTTGTTTTATATTTTAGCAAGGAACCACTATGGTTGGTATGTACATCATGGATGTATATTGATGAACTTTGGTAATATTGTAGATATTCAGCAAGTTCCATGAAAATACTTATGAATTGTCAGGACTTAAAGACAAAACTTTTCAAAATATAAGTGAAAATGAAAAGGCTCAGAACTATAATTCCGACGGTTTTACGACAAGTTTATACCAACCAAACACGATCACTCCGAACAGCAGAAGTTTGTCCTTCAAATGGTTCAAAAATGCGGCCAACAAATGCCGAGCAAACCCGAAAACGGGATCTGCAAGTGTACACTTTTTTCAGCCTTTTGCATGATTTCCGGATCCTGATATCCTGATAGCCAATGAATTATGCATGCAAACAAAACAAAATGCGAAATTGTAACATCCTATGGAAGAATTATTTATAATCGTTTTGATAATTTGTGCTTGGTTACATGAAATTCTTTACACACAGAAAATGTTAAATGTCAAATGTTGACACATTTTGATAAATTTTTGGTGTGGAGGTAATATAATAAAATCAGATACGCTATACGCTAACGGGAAAACCATTTTTTTAAGGTTTACTATTGCTTTCAGACTCTTCATCCACCCAAAAGAGCTTTGGATCAAGCAAGTCCGACGTGGAAAAAAGGCGTCCAGGCACGACGTCCAAAAATTATGTTAGCCGAGTCAGCCGAAGAAGTCATTCAATTATCCAAATTCTTGACACGAATTGAATAATTTGAACGTCAAAATAAAATAAACTGGTGTTAAATAATAGGAAAATTCGGCTTCTCGGCTAACATAATTTTTGGACGTCGTGCCTGGACGCCTTTTTTCGACGTCGTGCCTGGACGCCTTTTTTCGACGTCGGACTTGCTTGATCCAAAGCTCTTTTGGGTGGATGAAGAGTCTGAAAGCAATAGTACGTTTAAGGGAATTTATTAGTTTTATTCCCTCCGTTTTCCAATAAAAAGAAAATACAGAAATCGAACCCACGGTTGTCGATGCGTTTTAATTTTCATCTAGGGAAAATTGTTGAAAATTGGTTTACACGAATTATTATTCCAAACTTTGGTGAAATGGGATTTTATAAAATTTTACAAATTTTTGTTAATATAAAGCATATTTAGAGCAAAAATTTGTCATTCTAAAAATTTATGTCGATTTGAGCATGGAAAAGCTTTATTTATGATTAAGTTTACATTAATTAAAAGTTGCATATTTTTCTACCGAATCGTACTGAACTGCCTAAAACTTTACCTGTGATGTTTGTATGAAACAAGTAATATGAAATTATTGAAAAATAACTTTAAACAATTATTGAGTTGTGTTACAGTTTGTTAAATTGCATTTTCCGATTCATCGTTCTCGTTCACGATCAATTTTGTATTTATTATTCATCAACAAAATAAATGGAAAAATTTGGAATCATTCAAAATATATAAAAAACATATAAGTGGTGTTTGGAAACGTCCCATTTTGATATTCTTCATGGAAATTATGAATTGAGGGTTTTTGAATTTGAATTTTATCAAGTGGTCGTCATTTACAGAATTTCAAAAAAATGATATACTTCAATGCCATTTTGATAAATTTTGATTGTATTGATGGTCAAAACGTGTGTTAAGATTGCTCCTCTATGCACAGCTCTATTCTTCTCTATTTGTATTCGGACGTGACAAATTGTAAAACCAATTCATTTTTTTCATTCTGGTTACTCTGGAAAATTTGAAATGCAGATTAACGTTTATTTGGTAAATAAATCATTGTGCGATCTGCTTGTAAATAATTATGAAATTGAAATTTTAAAAAATGTACACAGAAATTGACGAACTGAATTTGATAATTATTTCTGGTTGACAAAATACATGGAAACATTTGAAATCATTAAAATTAAATAAAAAATTGGTGTTTGAGAACATCTCATTTTTGGTATTGTTCATGAAAATTAAGAGTTTTGAGTATTTAATTTTAAATTTGCATAAATAAATTTTAAAAAACAAACTTAGGTGAAGGACGCGCTTAAAATATTAAAACAAGAAGCATTACAAAATGTCATAATATCGTTTAATATTTATTAACTTTTACTTCACAGTGGGCCCAACTTTTTCATAATAATTAACAATAAATGTAACTAAACTAACGACTTGATTAACAAATAAGTGCACCGTTACAGGGAGAGTTACTAAAATATGCCAGAACATGAACAAATTTCCTCTATAACAGGTGTCGCGATTTATTGAAAGATAACCAATCACATCTTGCAAGCTTAATATACAAATACTACGTATTTCGAATAATTGTTCCAAATGCCTGAAAGTATAGCTTTTCTCCTGTATTAGTTGGGCCCACGGTGAAGTAAAGGTTAATAAATATTAAACGATATTATGACATTTTGTAATGCTTCTTGTTTTAATATTTTAAGCGCGTCCTTCACCTAAGTTTGTTTTTTAAAATTTATTTATTTAATTATTTTTAGTGATTTGTGAACTTAAATGCATAAAATAATATGCAATTATCAAATCTTAAAAGTTGATAATTCTCCTGTGGGTGGATGCGTGGTATACTAAAGTAATACCCCAGTGGGTGTGGACGTTTGGTATACTTATTTAATCCCCCAGTGGACGCTTGGTATACCAAATTAGTCCCGCAGTGGGTGTGTATGCGGCCCTACTAAATTAGTCTCCCAGGGTATGCATGCGTTAATATTTGTATTTCATGCAATTTGATCGCTGCTAATTGTTTCAGCCAAATATGCTAAACACACCTTACATTTTTCGCACACGTTAGCAACCAGTAACCTAACACGTAAATATACATACGTAAATAGGTTGCTTAATGGAAATATTTCAAAAAGCTCTAATTCCGTGAGTTTTCATCCGATTAAGTCCAACAAAGGCTTAAAATTTGCGTATTATCCAGGAGAATAATAAAAATGGCAAGCCCCCGGTCGGAAACACTTCCTTGATGCCAAGAAATGGATTTGAAACTTTAGGCATCGGACTTTCTACCTTAAGGAATTAAAATTTCGGAAAAAATAAAAAAAACGTATCTGTAAAACAGAATTCTCTGGTTTTTTTGTTTCAACATGTTTTCCATGCAACGAACGGTTTGGGCTACATCTCAGTGCGACCTTTTCAAAGTTGCAGCTGAATGCATACTTAGGCTTCGCCGTAACCATGGTGATCTTTTAACATGATCTCCTTTTGGTTACTTTTCCTTCACCTAAGAAAAACACATTTATGCTTGAAATTCCTTGAACTTCGATGTCATTTTTTTAAAGTTTTAATCGTCTATATAGTGACAATTTGGGTTAAGATGTCCTTATTTGCCTTTTCTCTGCGTTATCTATATTGAAAATATTAAATAATCAACCTAAAGAATATGGAGAAGGTATAGAATGTATATAAAATGGAATTAGTATAATTTTGAATTTATAGAATGTTTGGCAAATTGTTGCTAAATATTGTTTTATTTTAGAGGGCGGATATGTACTAAAAAGTGTTGAAAATTTACGAAAAATATTAAAATAGATTGAGAGATTTTTTTAAAATCCAGAAATTGTTGAAGCTCTGAATTTCGTGTTTGTTATTCGTCAACAGAGTACAAGGAAGGATTTGAAATCATTAAAAGTATAGAAATATGGTGTTTGAAATCATGCTAAATAGCATGATTTCTTGAAGAATATTCTTCTCGAAAATGGTAAACTCTTAGTTTTTTAATTTTAATTTTGCAAAACACTTTTATCCCATTTATTTATTTGACATTCTTAATTGTATAAACTGCTAAATTTCGACGCCAGTTTGACAAATTTTCGTGTAAATAAGGCAAGAAATGTTTATTAGATGTTGTCTCCTTATTTTCAGATGTGACAATTTGTTACAAAATTTTCAAAATTATCGCACAAGTAATTTTCTATTTCATGAAATAATTTTATAAAATTACAGTTTTCTTCCATTATATAAGTTTACAACGGGTGGAAGGAAACGTTTTGTAAAGTTATATACATAGAATACACTTTTGCGAAATAACTTTAACAATTTTATAGAGTTTGCTGCATTACAAAAAACACCCGTTATACAATATTTCACAACAATCTTCAAACTTTATTTCCTGTGGCACAATTAATATTGATTTTATTGTTATTTAAAGAATTTTAAAAGTTCGACGTCATTTTTATAAGTTTGCATCGTGTGAATATGAAAATTGATTTACAGGTTCCAAGTTCTGCGGCACTAATATAAATGTAGACATTTATTTATTTATTGACACTATTTAGGAGCTATCAATTAGTTCATTGAGTAATTATTTGTAATATATGTGATGAATACTAAACACATTGGATGAATAGGGGGAAGAGCAAATACATGTAATGAATAGGGCAAATAGCAAATGTATTGAATGAATACCAAATGCTCATTTGGCCACTGCTCAAATGGCCAATGCTTCAATGGCCACTGCTCATTTGGCCACTGCTCAAATGGCCAACACTTATTAATACATGGAAACTCACAATATAAGAGTGATCACGTACACATTTATGTAATGATCTATATCTAGCAATAGTTACTTGTTAAGATCTAGTATTTAAACATTGGTATTGTATTAAACGGGGGGAGTCTTCGGTTGATCTTCAACTGAGGCGGAACTCTTCGGGAGGACTCCAGCTTTGATCAATAAATAATTTCTTGTTCCTGTTAAACTACAATTTGGCCACACCGCCCATTATTCCACATACGGGAAACATTACGGCACACCCACATCTCTTAGAACGGCTCAATTACTCTAGGCTAACCATTTAACAGAAGGACGGCCCTTGGAATCCCAGCAGGATTGGTTTGTATAGAGAATAAGGCATTTAAGGCATTTATTATTAAGTCAAATAGCGTTAAGAGTATAAAGTAGATTAAGGTTAGGCTGGGACCCTTGCACTAAAGACAGCAGTGATTTCCCCCAATTGTAATCATAGTTTTTGAAAAGTTTGTAAAATTTTACGATAATCTCTCTTTTTTTATTTCGTAAAATAATTTTACAAAGTTAGTTACAAAGTTCATCAGACGCAAAAGAATTCTTCATTTATATGAGTTAACAGCTTTTACGATTATTTACGATTTTAAAATTACGAAACAAACTTCTTGCATAACATAACGTAAAGTAAAGTTTAAAATAATATTCAAGTTTATGGATTTTACAGAATTTGTACTGTTATTTCAAACTTTAAACTTTAAACTGTTATTTCAAACAATTTCAAAACTTCGATGCCATATTTTTAAGTTTGCATCGTGTGAATAGTGAAAGTTTATTTACAGGTTCCAAGTTCTGCGTCCAAAAAACAGCAGTGATTTCTCGCAATTGTAATCAAACTTGTTGAAAAGTTTGTAAAATTTTACGATAATCTCTCATCATTTTTTTATTTTGTAAAATAATTTTACAAAGTTACACAGTTCATCAGCAGACGTCGGATATGAATGAATGATAAAACCTCAAAATATGAATGAAAAATGACCGTAAAAATCCCCAAAATATGACCATAAAATGACTTTATTTTTTAAAATTTTGGCTTAATTTTTAGCCCGAAGCAGGGCTTATGTAATCGTCATGTCCGTCCGTCTGTCCGTCCGTCTGTCCGTCCGTCTGTCCGTCCGTCTGTCTTTCGATAACTCTCGAACGAGTTGACGGATTTGGACCAAATTTGGTACAGACATGTATCTGGGCAATGCAACGACCGAGTTCGAAGATGGGTTCGATCAGAAAAGTTTTGGACCGGTGGGGGTGATCGGAGTGGGTGGGGTATTACGCACCAAAATTTCAAAATTGTCGTAGAAAGCTGAAATTTGGCACAGAGGTTGCTAATGGCTCCTAATAGATAGAAATGAGTTCAAGATGGAAAAATTTTCATTTTGAGGGACCCTAGGGGGTGACCCATACTGATTTTTCAAAATTGTCATATCGAGCTGAAATTTGGTGGAGAGGTTGCTTATGGGTCCTAATGGAAGAATATGACATGAAATCGGTATAATTTTTATCTAGACCGACCCTATGGGGTGACCCATATCGATTTTTAGAAATTAACGTAGAAAGCTGAAATTTGGACCAGAGATCCTTACTGCTTTCTCATGAAATAATATGAAGTTAAATATACTGAGAAACATGGGTTTACTAATCCTGGTTCGGGCTAAGCAAAGTTGTACTGGTAGGTTTTTGATATATTTTCTTGTAATGCTCAATTTTTATCAAGTAAACAAGTTCTGAGGTGATTTAATGCATTCCCAATGAATTCAATCACCTTGGGCGAAAGTGAACATAAATTTCTGAAAGTTTCTCACAATGAATCATTGTGAGAAAACTGTATTTTTTGTCATTTTCTGTCGATTTGATTGCCAAATCTTAGAATTTGGCCAAAAATGATAAAATGAACGAAAAAAGCCCGAAATATGATCGGGAATATGAATATGTCCCAAAACCCGAAAATATGACCAATATGAGAAAATATGCTTTGACCTACGCGACCTACTAGTGACCATAAACATTCTCAGAAAGTTTGGCGACTGTAGGTCAATACATGGAAAAAGTCATTTTTCATTCATATCCGACGTATGTTCATCAGATTCAACAGAATTCTTTATTTAGAGTTTACATACAACTTTTATAAAATTACGGAACAAACTTTTTACATAACATAGCGTAACGTAAAGGTTAAAATAATATTAAAGTTTATGGATTTTACAGAATTTGTACTACTGTACAAAAATCTGCGTCGTAATATTTCACGATAATCTTCCTTTAAACGAGTTTACAGTTTTTATAAAATTACGAAACAAACTTTTTACATAACGTAAAATAAAGTTAACATGTTTATGGATTTTATGTGTAGAATTTTACCGCGTTACAAAAATCTGCGTTATAATGTTTCACCAGAATCTTCAAACTTATCGGGTTCCGGGTCTACGGCTATAACTTGATAAAGCAACGTCTTGTTTTTCATCAGGCTGAAAGAGTTGTCAAAAATGAAGGCGTACGTCCCCGTGACTTCGCAGCAGTGGGACCCTTCCTGCACCGCCTTGTGCGCGTCGACCCGAGAATACGGGACGATAATGGCGACACGATCATCCTTACGCTTACTTCCGGTAGAAAAGTTATTAATGATTTTGTTACTCGTCGTCGCAGAATTATTATTTGGAACAAGGTTCACTTGGAATGCAATGTTGTAATTATTCGTTTTGAATTTCCACTCTAAAATTGTACTTTTCTCGGTAACTTGAACCGTCTTAATAAACTTGTCCCTCGCGTTAATTGTGGTTTTATGAAAGTCGGCGTCTGCTTCAGTGAGACCTGAGGAAAAATATGAGACTTAGATTTAGATATTACGCAGACCATGGCAAGTTTGCAAAATCTGTGCGTTTTGTAAAATAGGTAGTTTTACAAACTCTTACAAAATAAAGGGACGTCCTTGATCTTAGAAAATTTACAACAATTTGGGAGGTAATTTTCCTCAGAAATAGTTGTAAAATTTGGTAAAAGTTTATCCAATTTATGGATTTTATCAAGCTTGAATTAACTCATTCTTTTGATGCTTTAGTGTATAATTTAATTTCAAAATTAATAATAATACTTAATTACCACGCATTAGGGGTCGCATATCTTTAGGTCCCTGTATCCACATCTCGTGTCCGGAACAATACTCATCCACACCTTCCAGCGTTCCACCCCAATGAGTTGGAATATTTTCGACGGGAAACTTTTGCCTCACGACAGCCTTCCATTTTTCAGGGTCAGGCCCTGAAATTAATTACAATTACAAGAGTAAAACTATATTTATAAAGAGGTACTAATTTATTTTAGTCTGCTATTTCTCGCCTCAAACAACGTTTAGAAGAACCTTAACACTAATTCCCACAATCTACAAGATCAAATTTATAAAAATGGCATCGAACGTTAGAATTTTATTTATTTGAAATCCTCAAAGTTAGATATCGCAGTTTATGAGGAAAATAACCCCCAAAAGTTTGAAGATTGGCGAAATGTATAACCTGAGGGCGGATATATATTCATTTAATGACGACCGAAGGTCAAATTTTGTTGATTGGTATGTTCCCAAATCAGAAAAAGTTCAAAGTATTTTTACATAGTGTTACACATTTCCAAGTTTTCAACATACCTAGTCGTATACACTCAAGTGTCAATGATGCAATACGCTGTAAATATTGTAATTTTCCTTTTATCAATTTGTGGTTTCCTTCATTGGAAAGCCAATGAAATTCTAATCCAGTAACAATGCTCAATCATCAAAAATTAATATCTTATGTGAAAATGGCCAACTGAAAAAGAGACAAACAGGCCCTGCCAAAAGTACGCACTAGTTTTCATGAAAAAAATGCTCGGAAAAATTAGTAATCATTTTTTCTAAACCTTCATGATTTCAGGGAATTTAGACCATGCGATTATCTTTAATCTAAGCCCATTAGTCATTACCGATAGGGGTGTGGTCTGTTTGTTGTGACCATATCCATGCGGTGTGTGAAAGTCACAAAAATGAGAAAAAAACCGCTTTTTGACAACTTTTGCTTCATATTTTGGAACAACTGCCACTTAAAAGGTCCAACCATTATTTTTGAGTAGTACATGTATCCTGGATTCTACATCATGCAAGAGGCCAACTTCCGCGTCATGGTTGGCTTTGGTTGATGATTTCTGTAGAAAAGGGGAAAAATTTCCCTTTCTGGACTAACTTGCTGCATGCAAATCCAGGGATGACATTTTTGAAGATTTTATTTTTTGATAAGCAACTCACATATATGGAGCGCATGAATAACTTCATTGGGGGTTATAATATACGTTAATAGTAAGAAAGATCTCAAGTGGAAAACTGTCTTCGGAAGAAAGCAAATTTTGCGTACCGCACAAGAAAAATTTTGGGGTTTTTAATCTTTCTCAATTTTGAGAAGTAGTAAGCGTATGATGGTTACCGTATTTCAAAACCCTAACCACAAGGTTATTTATGCGCCGCATAATGATTTTTTATTTTGACCCTCTGGTCTCTGGGGTCACTTTTAACAAATATATCGTGCATTTGCCAGGTTCTGGCTTTGAAAGCTTTGGGGGCAATTTAAGATTTTTTTAGGGGGGTGTGGTTTACGGTTTGTTGTAGCCCAAGGTTCTACTCACATTTTAAGTATACACTTGATTACGTCAGACTTGAGTTTGAGGTATTTTATAGATTTTTCAGTTGAAGAATTTTTGCTCATTCTCGAAGTGAGCAAAAAATCGCTGACATCCTCATTTCAAAGTTTTCTATTTAAGTCATTTTTTCGAATAATTTGAAATGGAAAAGTGATTCGGAATCGAAATCGCATGGGCTTTCCAATGTACGTATCCGTTTTTAATTCTGACGGGTACTTTTCCTGAAATCAGCTGTTGACACTTGAGTGTATACGACTAGGTATAAATATTTCCGCTATTAATATGTAAATCTTTTAGACATTTTTTTCAAAAATGCGTATATATTTTGTAAATATTTCAACGCTGAGACGAAATTTATTTGCTGAAGGAAATTGAACCACAGAAAGTTAGAAGCAGAATGTATTTTTTAATGCGCAAAAATTTTTGCGAAAATATTTTTTTTTGCACATACATAGATATGCATATTTCGCTATTATTTTTATATTTTTTCGTACTTATTACATCCAAGCTGATCCTATCTATTTGTTAAGCAACTAACAGTCTGGCTCAAGTGCCGGGGGATTGGAACTTAGTACCTGGGAAACGTCACCCAAAAGTTCCAATTCCCTGGACTTTTTAGTTATGCAAGTTACAGGGAAACGGAACCCACTTGTCGCAGGATTTAGCGGGCTTCGATTCCCCGGTACCCTCTTACGCAAAAGTTACGATTCCCCGGAACCCAACATTTTTCTTTCATTTTTCATAAATTGAATAAATTTCCGCACAAAATTTGAATTATCTCAAATTAACCTCCCACAAACGAAGAACATTTGATAAAAAAATTAGAATTTTTTATAGTGGCAGAGGTTCCTAAAATCGCAAATTTCTGACAAATTTGAGGAGCGGCAAGCTCAAAAAGGTACGGGGAATCGTCACCCAACAATTGTTTTTAGGAAAAAATATAGTTATTTTTAGGGGAAAATAATTGTAACATAGTAATAATGTACTAATTGTAATAATAATTGCAAAATAATTGTATTTTTCCCTAAAAATTATTGTTGGGTGACGATTCCCCGTACCCTTTTGAGCTTGCCGCTCCTCAAATTTGTCAGAAATTTGCGATTTTAGGAACCTCTGCCACTATAAAAAATTCTAATTTTTTTATCAAATGTTCTTCGTTTGTGGGAGGTTAATTTGAGATAATTCAAATTTTGTGCGGAAATTTATTCAATTTATTAAAAATGAAAGAAAAATGTTGGGTTCCGGGGAATCGTAACTTTTGCGTAAGAGGGTACCGGGGAATCGAAGCCCGCTAAATCCTGCGATAAGTGGGTTCCGTTTCCCTGTAACTTGCATAACTAAAATGTCCAGGGAATGGGAACTTTTGGGTGACGTTTCCCAGGTACTAAGTTCCAATCCCCCGGCACTTGAACTAGACTGACTAAGGTTTACACGATCATAATTGATTAAAATGACATCGAAGTTTAGCATTTCATTTAGAATTTCAAAGAAATAAATGTATAACAAGTATTTTGCAAAATTCAAATACAAAAACGTGCAATGCAGAAATTTCATCTAGCGTACCAAAAATGGCACGTTTTCAAATACCATATTTTTTTATAAGTAAATTTAATAATTTCAAATCTTTCCATGTTGTTTCACAGTCCTGCAAATCAAGTTCTTCATAATTATCTACATTTTTTACTCTCCTGATCTAATCCCCGGCAGATGGTTGAATGATCTCTTACACCAAATAAAAATTTGCGAAAATGTGTTTTTTCGCTAATATTTCGTAAATATTTTGACATTTTTTCCTAAGTATTACATATACATATTCCAACAATTTTTCGTACAAATGCATTTCCTCCTTCTGAAGTAAAACAAAATTAGCAACAACTTACCAAAAATTTCGATCTTCTCCAGCGTATTTTTTGGGATGACTACTTTTAACATGGAGAACAGCGTGACAAATATTTTTGCAGCGTTGACTATCATCACGTATCGAATCAATTCTGGATAATGATTCCCCATCTGTTGCTGCATTTTTATGACGTATTCACGACACAGTTTGGACGACATTTGCCAGTAGGAATACCTGTGGAAATAATAATGAGACAATTCATGCAGTCATTGGCAACGTTATAAATAAAATCCGTCTCACGTAAAATAATGTTACAAGCTTTCACAAAATAAAATTCATCTATAAATCTCAACATGTAAATCATAATATTGAAAATATTTTTAACGGCAACAAGGTTTGTACAAATTTCAAAAAATAGAAATCAAACTGAAAAATGACGTTACATTTTCTGCCTTACAAATTTGCTACCTATTTCATCCTCATAAAGTATTTAACATCATCTCGCAAAATTTTCAGGCAAAATAGGGTACAAAATTTGCAATTATAATATTTTCACAAGACCGATAAAATAATAAAAAGTTGCACTAATTGTCATTTTCTATTATGGAAATTGTTACAAACTTGGCACAAATTTATCAAAGATTTCGTTCTGATCGATTATCCTCGAATTTTTTATATCACCTTATCAAAAAATGTGCAAAAATTTATACAAAATTTGCATCTTTAGCTAATCATGTGTACGTATTAATTATATGAAAATGCTGTCGCTCGTATAACAAAATTAACGTAGGACTTGCTGACTCGTCGCCAAAATTGTCAAAATTAACACATTTTTAACTATTTGTCTGCTCTGGGAATTTATTTTAAAATTCTGGACGACAAATTTGTATTCAGTGAGTTGATTAATGTTGAGCTTTTTGAGCAAGTTTCGATAAGGTCAATTTTATGAGGCTTCTTAAACTTGAGATCACCTCCTTCAGAAATTGACAAAATCTGGAGTATATATTTTTGAAAAATTTGCAACGACCCGCTTCACAAATTCGCCGCCCTGAATTTTAAAATAATTCCCTGGGCGGAGAACGGAATAAATACTTGCTGATTTTTTTGCGATTTTGGCGACGACTTATCAAATCTGCGTTAATTAGCTTACCCTTCACAATCCGCAATTTCAATCATTTGCGTAACCTTCCTTCCATGTTTTATGCCTTCGTCGCGCAATAATTTCGCAAATTCTTCCATATTATAAGTTTGGTAGCGTTCCATGACTTCAATCCCATACTTTTCCAGCCCATATCTCGTATCATGGCGTCCAAACGGAACCACAAAAACGGCACAACCTTCGTTTGAAAGTCCGCAATATGCAATGGGCGCCCTCTCCCGTAAGTCTTCGGGCATTTGATATCTTTCCAAAATGGTGTCGATGTCATTCTCCTGACGCCACTGGAGAGAAAATCGCAACATTTCTTCCGCCTTGGCCACGTCCAAATTTCTCGCTCTCAGCCATCGAATCAGGAATGAGTCTTCTTTTTGGTCTTCGGTTAATAAAATGTGGTCAACTTTTTTTCGAAATTCGGAAAGTTTCTGAATTTCCAGGGACGTATAGGTGTCTGATGGAGGGAGCGTGGAGGAGGTTCTTCTGGTGGGGTCCATGATTTATTTTAGCTGAAAGTATATCAGACTGGTTAGGATTATGAAATGATTGCAAATTCAAATGATTATCTGGACATATTTGCTAATGCGGCAAATCATGCAGGCCTTTGTAACTTTGTAGAATCCGTAAATTCCATAAACTTGCAAACTTTTATGAAATTTTAGAAATACCTATTCCGAAAGAAAATTAGCTTCCAAATTCTTATAAACTTGCTCAGATCGAGGTCGTCTCTTTATTTTGTAAAAGTTTGTAAAATTATTTTATAAAATGTACGGATTTTTTTTAAAAGAAATTCAAATTCAAATTTTCAAGTTCTACTTTAAAATAAAAAAATTGTGGTTCTCGATTTTTAATGTTCTTCGTGAAAATTATGTATTACATAATTAATTAAATTATGTATTATTTCGAATTTTAATTTTGTAAAATATGTCATTTAACGAACTTCTTAAGTTTTAGTGCTGGACATTTTAAAAATAAACAACACGCTGAATTTCGATGCCATTTTATAGATTTTGAAGATTCTGACATTAATAACTTGTGCGAAGGTTCGTCCCACTTCCGCTTCCAAATAGCTAACTAAAAAAACAATGCACGACAATTTTAAACTTTGTGAAGTTACAAAGTTTAAAAAATAATCTCTCATAATTTTTATTATTTCGTTACAAAATTTTTACAAAATTACATAGTTCACAAGATTGAAGAAAATTCTACACGAATTTAGAATGCGTGGAAAAGTTTTGTAAAATTATGAAACAAATTAATCTGAATTTCAAATTTAGTTATTTATTCGGCAACAAAATGTATGGAAGGGTTTGAAATTATCAAAATCTAGTGTTTGCAAACATGCCATTCTCCATAAAAATTGTAAATTCAGAGTTTTAAAATTTGAATTTTGCAAAACACTTTCCATGTATTTATTTGAAGTACTCTAAATAAAGAGTGTTAAATTTTGATGCTATTTTGGAAAATTAATGGTCGTTTATATATTGCAAATTTCACGATAATGTAGTATAGCATGGAAATATGCATGTAATGAGATACATTTATATTACTATGTTACTATATGTATGTACATATGTCACGATTTTACCGTTAAAAAGGAACTCAATTTGTCACTATGTCACTTTATAAATATCTTGTATGTACCTCTATGGGCAATAATGCCTGAAAGGGGTTTGATGAATAAATCAATCAATCAATCAATCAATATATTGCAAATTTGTGTTCAGGTGACAAAAATTTCTCTCTCTAATTAGCCGAGTAAAACCAACTTAGGGAAATTTTGGCAATTAAGTTTTGTGAAAGTATAACGTTTTAAAAATCTCTAATAATTGTCTATTTCGTAAAAGAATTTTACAAAATTCCACAGTTCACCTGGTTAGAGTGAATTCTTCCTTCATACAAGGTTGCATTACAATGGGTAGATTTCTTTAAATTATGCAATACAATTTTGCGAAAAAAATAAGGTTAATACTTTTTCGGATTTTACAAAAAACACTGGTATAAATGTTTTCAGAGGACGGTTATGTATATGTATTTACGAAAAATCCCTCAAATTTACGAAAAAACTTCAAATTTACGAAATATGTATCTCATGTACATATTTATGTACATGTACATAAAAAAAACATTCTCGGAAAACTTGACATTTACTACCTCAAAATCAATATCAAACTCAACGATTTACAATTATTACACATTTTCGTACATCAATAATATGAAACAAGAGGTAATACTCACCAAAAACGATGCTAATTGTAAGTAAATCACTCTAAAAAGTCCAAAATTCAAATTCCAACTGCTCGAAGTTTCCTCAATTATACGTACTTATTTATTTGCATGACTCCTATTGTTGACCTCTAACTATGCAAAATGCAACTGACTATTCACCAAGTCTGACACGAATGTATGTACGTTTCATAAAAACATTACTCCACGTGCGCAATTATTGATGTACATGGATGCATAAGCTGTACCATGTCCACATTACAGCGATTCACACACTAGCGAACTGGTTCGATCGAAAATAATGCAGTAAAAAAAATTCACACGTTGATGAGTTTCGCATGTCTTATTTACAGGGCAATTCTATGCATCAACAAAAAAATAAAACAGCTCAATCCCCAAGGTCAGTAATCATGCGCATGGGGATCAAATCAATGGATTTTGTTTATACAAATTCTATGCAAAAAATGAATAAGTTATAAAAATACGCAGCAACTGCAATTTTGGACCGGACGCTATAAACGATAATGATTCTTCATTATTTCTCTGAGGTACATACACTCTTAGAAAACTGATATACTGTATCAGTTTTCTAAGAGTAGTGATTTATTAATATATTAATAAATCATTACCGACAGGAGTAATCATGTATATGACTCTACCGGCACGTAATAACGGGCAATACGGTTTAATAATGTTGTGGTTGGTGGTGAAAACTTTACCCCTCGGAAACAAACTTCGGTAGATTATTACCAAATCAGTAACAGTATGAAGTATGAAATGCATATCTAGCGTTACCAGATTTGCAACAGTGTATGAATTGTCTAAATAAATATTAACATCAACACAACACAAAGTGTTTAATTTATTGCACTTTCATCACATTTCATGCAGTTAATATTATACACATTGGGCTGAATTTAAAATTTACTGTTTTTTTAACCTCGCAACCACACAAAGCTATAGAAGTAAATAAATAAAGACGTAACATCTAAAATCGCTTCATATTTAAGAAACAAAATGGATGTAGATATTGGCTACTTTCCTGGTCCGAAAATTGGATCAATTGTTTGTAACGCCAAACAGAAATTGCAAAAGCCAAGAGCAGGAGTTTACAGTATACAATGCAATTCGTGTCCTGCTGTTTATATCGGTGAAACAGAACGAGATTGCATGGTCAGAATTGCCGAACATCAGAATGACATCAGAAGAGAAAGTACAACCTCGCCTGTAGCAGCTCATATGATAGAAAACGACCACCAACTGGACCCAAATTCCTTTAAACTCGTTGTCCCAGAAAACAGAAAATTCTTCAGAAAGTTTAAAGAAGCCCTGCACATTAAAAAGTTAACGAGCAAAATTAACATATCCAGCGGAGTCAACATCAACCCAATCTGGTCCTCACACTACTGAATTTTTTATAATTTAACTGTGACTAAGTAACATTTACTAACAATTAATTCCCATTTTTCACTTGTCAAAGGAATGTATGGTTTAGATTTGTATCCGATATCTTTGTATTCTTGCCTGATGAAAATGACAGTAGTTCATTGAAAGCTAGCAATTTTCAACAATAAAATCAAGAAATAATCCCCGAAAACCGCAGAAATGAGTGATCATAAATAAATAAATAAATAAGTAAACAAATAAATTTTTTTAACAAGCGTCTTTACGTTTACAAAATTTTCTACTTTGACTGAACTTTCAAACTGGTATTGCAATACGATCTAATATTTTTTAATTGCGTCTAAATTATTCGCCATAATTATTAATCGACATTAAAACTTGACAAAATATTTTACTAGTATGACAAAATTTGACAAAATTTAAAAATAGCATAATTATCGTCTGTTTAACCAGTTTTAACTAGTTTGACTAGTTTTGACTAGTTTTAACTTTGATTAATAATAATTACGAATAATTTACATAGATGTAAACGTAAAAATTATGCTGTCTCTGCTCATCCTTTAGATTAAATTTTACTTTTAAACGACAGATACATTACGATATTTTCCCAAAAATTTGTAGAAAAGTAGAAAATTGCGTAAACTTAAAAGTGTTTCCGGAGCAAATCCAATCCGTCCTTATGCTCGCCGCCTTTGAAAAATTGTACAAAATTTAATGAATTCGATAATCTATTCCTAATCAGTTTTTTTTATCTATCTTCCTTCGAATTTCTTTCCAAAATTCATTTTGAAAAATGGGACAATTTCTGCTAAAAATTTAGATAAAATTTGGCTGTCAATTAGAAAACTCAGCAGTCACCAAATAAAGAATTGTCCACCTCCAAACATACAAATGCAACGGGATATTTGATCTATATTCCGTAAGAAATCAAGATTGACTTAGAAATTTTTGAGAAAATTTTGAAGTCAAAATCTAGTCTTCACTATTTCGCCTTAAATAGAATAGATTTTTTTTTCAACAAACATTTTCTCAATAATCAGTAAAAAAGGTAAAAAAATTGTCACATCTATCGGAACTTGATACACAACCATATTTGGAGAAATTTTGAGTTTAGGTATCACGACAATTTTATTAAATTATAAAAATATGAGTTAACCAAGTTTAAATCTCCACTTGAATCTTAATAGATAACCAAAAGTTAACAGAATTTTTGTAAAGCTTGTTATTACAAAACGTATAGAATTTAGTTAGATGGGCAATTTCAAAATTTTGTAAAACAATTTACTACTTTTATATTTTGTCAGGTTTATTTACAAGTATTTTTAAGTATATTTATTCAAGTATATTTTGTTAAGTTTTAATGTCGATTAATAAAAGTAAGGAATAATAAGACGTAAATTTAAACATTAGATGAAGCTTTCCTGGAATCAGCAATTGTGTTTTTAAATAAATTACCTTTAAATTAATTCAGATATTTTCCCAAAATTCGAAAATCGTAATTTTATAAATACTATAGATATAAATAAATGTCTATTAATTACATATTAAATGATTCCTTATAAATATTTGCTTATGTACATATAACAAGTCGAGCCTTTTGGGTCGAGCCTTTGAATGTAGAAACAATTATGCAAATTAATAAATAAACATATACACTAAGATCTTACACCTTTTGAAGCATGTGAAAATGAAATAGTTTGCAGAAATTCGAAACGTTTTTACCCATTTCCTGGACTAAAAAATTATCTTTCCATACATTATACAATGAAATTTTCATGTTGATCGTTGTTTTGGCGTTGAATTTGATCATGAAAACATTATGAGACATTCAATTCTTTGTCGTGATATATTAATTCGTTGCAGAAGAATTAATTCTTGAAATGCAACGCTTCACGGGATTTTTGCTTGCACTTTGGTAAAAGCTCGGAGGTTAACGTGTATAGTTAAATAATAATCACACAAGAAAAATCGTGCCACAAATTTATTACAAAGTTGCATAGAGGAATTGTTACTAATTTACAAAAGTTTTGTTACAAATATGCACGTTACTAGTACATATTTATTAATTTAAAAAACACTAATCTTTCTTGACCGAAAAAATTTCGCTTTTAGCATCACAAATGAAATTTAACAGTTCGAAAACATTTTATTACTATTAAATTTTGTCAAGTTTTAGCGTCGATTATTAACTATAAAAAATAATTTAGAGGTCAAATTAAAAATTAGATGGCTTACAGGATGGAATTTCGTCTTTAAATAAATTGTCTTGTAAGTACAATTGAGACGTTATATCACGCTGCAGTTTCGAAATTCAATATTTTCAAAAGTCTTTAAGCACATCCAAAATATAAGACTTTGGCACTAAAAAAAATTCAAAAATAAAAACATATATCGCGCTTTAAAAAAAATTAAAACGAACACGCTAAAAACCTTAATCTTATTAAGACTTCAATTAGTGAAAGTTGAATTACCATAGTCTTAATTCGTACCCCATAAATTCACACGGTTACAAACATCCACGTGATCATCTTTTGATGCCGAACAATTTTCACTGAAAGGGAAAACTGCATTGTTAAGTGAAATTTTACGGCTATTAAATTTTGTCAAGTTTGAACGTTGATTAATGACAATAACGAATAATTAGACAAAACGTCTAAAAAAAGATCGTACGTCGAGATCTCACCTATGTAAGTCTGTTGGAGAAGAGTTTCGCAAACAAATTGTCGTTAAAAAATATTACATTTTCCAAACTTCGTTCTAAAATTTCGTTAACTAAAGAACTTCTCTGAAAAATGCTTTTAAAAAGTTTTGCTTCCTTATCTTTGCAAAATTATACACAAAACTCAAGTTGCCAATCTACATATATTCAAAAACTATTCGAAGATTTCTTCTCTATCATACATTTTGAAAATAATTTCAACTCAAAATCTACCCCCCAATATTTCACCCAAAATATAGTAGATATTTGCCTTTTATCAACTAACATTTTCACAATAATTAGTCCAAAAAGCTGCAAAAATTACACTCTCAATAATTTTGTTGTACGATTGTTACCGGCGGAGGTACTATATGCAATTCTACCGCGTGGTAATACATACAATAGTAATAAGGTGTCTTCTGGGTGTATGAAATTGCTTACGGTGTGGGTAATATTTTTGTTACCAGAGCGTTGACATTGGGAACTGAGATGAATTTAGTCTCTGGATATCCTTCGATGATAAATTATTACCGAATCGGTGGAATTGGATGGCACATCCTCCGGTAACAGTTGCATTATGCAATTATTACCTGTGTACCCCATCCATCCGATTTAACCCGTCTTGGCGTCTTCCACAACCACATTTAGAAATTTTGGGTTAAGGTACCCACTAAATTTTTTTGAAATTTGAAAACAAATTGATGAGGTAACTTGAAATATATACATTAGAATATCATCTTATTGAACCTTGATAGCAAAAAGTTATTAGCGGAACGGAATTTTTGTAAAATTTGTTTTTACAGAATTTATGGAATTTAGATGGACGATTTCAAAATTTTGTAAAGAATTTTTCTTGTATTCAATTTTGTCAAGTTTTAACGTCGATTAATAACAATAGCGAATAATTTACACGTAAATTCCTAAAGTAGATAGAGAGCCCTTTGTTCCACAATTTTCGTTTTTAACTAAATTGCTTTTACCCAAATTACGACATTTTCTCAAAATTCGAAAATTTAATGATAGGTCAGAATAAACACGTCTGTTCACTTCAATAACTAAACGAGAACCTTAACTGTGGTAATAATTGTTCGCAAAGTTAAAATTTGCAGCTAAATATTTCATGGACAATAAAGCAATTCACGTAGTTCTTTTTACCCTTGTAAGATCCGGAAATTAACAAAATTTTACAACTATTTCAAAGGAAAATTAGCTTACAAATTTTTGTAACTTACGCCGATCAAGGGCGTCTTTTTAATTTGGTAAAAGTTTGCAAACTCATTATGGATTTTACTAAATTGCCATTGACTGCGTGAATTACGATCAATTAACTTAAACACAATACCCCCTTAAAAAGCCCATCATTCTGATTATTAAATTCATGTCTAAATTATTCGTTCTTGTTACTAATCCATTTTTACAAAATTTAAAACTAAATCATTTTACTAGTTTTACATTTTGTCACGTTTTAACGTCGATTAAAACCGTGGCGAATAATTTAGATGTAAATTGCATAATTTAATTGATAATGAAATATCATTTGCCACAAGAATTTGAAAGGAATCGAAAGCTATGCATGTTTTATAAAACCACATTTGGAGAAATTTTGAGTTAATGAACCCTCCGCAATTTTATGAAATTAGAAAAACAAATTTACGAGCTAACTTATCTAATCTAAATTTGTCTAGCCAAAATTTATTGACTTAACGGGATTCTTGTAAAAATTGCTATATTTCAACACGCATGGAATTTAATTGGGTGAGATTTCAAAATTTTGTAAAATATTGTACTACTATTAAATTTTATCAAGTTTTACGTCGATGAACAATAATAACAATTAATTAAACAGGAATTACACAATTAGATTGAAAACATTTTTTATTGGAATAGATAAATTAGTTTATAACATAGTTTTTCTTATATGATTATTATTTGCATGTTAACTTTGGTAATTTTGTGACGTGTACAAGGTTACAAAGATCCCCGGGAAAGGGTTCATTTGAAGAATTTTTTTGCGACAAACCGGCAAATTAACAAATGATCGCAATGAGTTAAATTTCTCATAGTTTTGCGTGGTAAAATTCGACGCCAAAGTAGCAATTTGCAGAAAAAGAGCTATGAACAATTTTTGAATAAATCATCTTCCGTTGTGGGGCCTCTCTTGCCGCTTATAAGAGTTAATTAAGCAAGAACAAATTTCCCGAATAAATTTACAAATGACTACGTAATTCAAAGAGACAATTCACGTCAACCTTCGCAAGTCCGTAACCACATTAACCAACGAAACTTACGAACTTTTGACGAAACTTGGGAACATCTCAAATAGGCAATAAATAAACAATAAATTCTCAAAAAACGAATCAATACATAAAATCTCGGAAAATCAGTCAAATAAAAAATTCTTAAAAAAACAATCGAGCTGTAAAAATTTTACTGGAAGCGTACACGATAGGAAATTTGGCGCAGGTAATCTATATGTGAAAAATCACCAACACCATACTGCTCAACAACCGTTTTAAGTTTTTTTGAGGCGATTGCGATTTTTTTTCGTGGGGTGGGGACATTTCCTGCTATGCGCTGATTCATGCTTAATTCGGTCAAAACCTGTTGTTCCTTTAGTCCGTCAATGAGTTTGTAAATGGTTGGGTGGGAAGCGCCGAGAAGAGTAGAAAATCCTGAATTAAATCCCTCACAGGAATTGTTCGTTTTGGGCAAATCTTCCAACACGCTATGGCAACAATTCCAGAGAGGGATGGCAAACAAGGGAGCCAAGCGAGCTATCCCACGAGGATTCCGGGGTCCCAACCAAGTCTTTTCGAAATACGCAAGAAATTCCTGAAGCAAAACTTCGTTGTGGATGAAGAATTCCTCACTCATCAACATTTCGAAAGTTGATATTACGTCTTCCGGAGGCACAAATGCCAAAGCAACAAGGTTCCAGAGATGGAGGGAGAAATCGGAGTCGGTGGAAAAGACATTCAAAATTTCTGGCGATTTCTGTAGATGACGATAAAAGCACTGTGAGAAATGAAAGTAACACCCCTTTTGTTCGGCCTCTGGGAAGACTTCGCCAAAGGCATTGAGTTCCGCCCGCTCGTAGTCTGTCATGATGGTCGTTGGTGCCAATCCAGCCTTAGAATCCAACAGAGCGGTGAGAACGCGGGTGTACGTTTCGGTTTTTCTATTTGGAAGGAGGCAGTACACAAGAGGACATGTTATCCCTCCCCTTATACCGTGCAGAACAAACAGTTGGTCAAACAAGGCAGGGGCTGCTTTGAAGGTACCGTCTGCGAGCCAAACGGTACAAGAAGCAAGGAAGTCCAGGTTTTTCTTAGGTGAGGCATAGTAACCATGACCACATGAAAAAGTGCATGGTTACGGCGAAGCCTTAGTATGCAAACAGACCCCCCCTCCAAATATTCTGCCAAAGATTGTGGCAAAACGACTAATCGTATCAAAATGGTGTAAAAGGCAATCGTGCAGACCTTGCTGGGTAGATGATGCCCGTCAGGTCTAGAGACACGACAATCTTATTTTAACCCATTTAAAATCGAATTTAAACTTTCAAACGACTGGCAAATTCACTTTTACCGTGCAAAGGTCATGACTCGTCCATGTTTTAATGTGCGGAAATTTATAACGCGTCATTTAAAACAAATCCGAACGAAATCGGATAAGAAATGAAAGACTTTTCTTGGTGGCACCTGCAACCAGTTACACACGTTAATTATAATGGTTCTTCATTACTTATAATAAATCTACGTTTCTATTAGCAACATGCACAATGGAAACATGCAAGATCTGTATGTATGCACTTTTAGAAATCCAGTATAAAAATAGTACCATGCGGTATTCAGAAATGACTACGAAAGTGGTATTGATAAGTAATACTGTGCGGCAATAGCTTTACTATATCGGTAGTAAAGTCTTACCCGCATAATTTTAATACTAATTGTAAGCAGTAGAAATAGAATTCTATTAGAGATTTCTAACAGAGTGTATATGCATGCATTTTGAGTTGGTACATTTCTTGACTATGAGTTCACGGGCGACGGGGGAATTTAATTGGGTATGCCACGCATCCACGCCCACTGGGGATTTATTTAGTATTCCACGCATACTAAATAATCTTATGGACTTATGGGGATTTAATTTGGTATCTATTATTGGTGACAACTTAAAGAGACTTAAAAACAAAAAATAAACTAATTCTTTAAAAAAAACTTAGGTGAGGCTTGCTTAAAAGGAGAAAACAAGCGGTTATCATCGTGTATTAGAATAATGTGCTAAATCAATTTTCATCTCATGATTTATACTTTTCGGTAAACAGAACAGCAAAGTATATGCGTTTGGGACCATTTGCCTCGCCTTGGGCCGTTTTGTGAATTAAAATAATTTTAAAATTTATTAGTGTTCAGAGAATTTGTTACACACATGCGGCAAATACGTCGAATACATAATTTGTTGGTTAATTTTGTTATCCATAATCGATTTCTGATCATATTTATCAAGCGTGGGTTAATTTCCAATATTACATACAATAGTAGAACATGAATTTTTATAATCTTTACCTATTCTAGAAATATATTCAAAGACTGCAAAATCACAAATTAACAAAGCTTAAATATAGCACAATTTGAATATTTATGTAAGATGACATATTTGTATTGAATTAATCACGGCCCACGGCGAGGCAAATGGTCCCAAACGCATATACTTTGCTGTTCTGTTTACCGAAAAGTATAAATCATGAGATGAAAATTGATTTAGCACATTATTCTAATACACGATGATAACCGCTTGTTTTCTCCTTTTAAGCAAGCCTCACCTAAGTTTTTTTTAAAGAATTAGTTTATCCTGAGTCGCAAATATCAGAATCCTGGAAGCTTCAGATCCAGAGTCGAACAACAGGAAATCTGCCCCTCGTTTAGATTTTTGAAACGAGGCAGGAAGAACAATATCCTCACGCCGGTGAGGTTGGCTCAGTGACCCTGAGCCTGCTGCACGTATGTCCCTGATTGTTCTTTTCAAATTTTGTTTGAGAGGTAGGACACCCTGAGCTGCTGCCGATACTTGCTCTACGTTTCGAGAAATGATGGTGGCTGGTTGATCATTACTAGATCTTGCATCATGACGGATCTTCGTTCGAATTTGACGGAGCTCGACATTGACGGAACTTGTGGGGTGATTGTGGGTTCCTAATTCGGAAATGAGGGTCACATTTTCCAGAGAAGTCGAAGTGTGCATCCTCGCGGGACATTTCTCGTGTCGATGGCGCTCACATACCCAGATCCTCTTCTCCACTCCAAATTTGTTAAAAATAAAGGAGTACCCATTCAACGACGCAACAGGTTTTCCCCGATTCGATTCCGAAATTATTATGTTGGCCATTGCTGGTTAATAAAAATAGCTCAAATTGTTATAATAAAAAGAAGCAAAAAATTTCAGTCATTTTAAGCAAGAAAAAATTTGGCCAAAAAAAAGGGGGAGGCCAAAAGGCCTCCCCCACCCCCCAATACCCCCCCCGATACCCCCCCCCGTCCCCAATACCCCCCCTCTACTTAAACCCCCTGCCCTGGGGCTCGGGGCAAGAATGCAAACTTACAAAAATATCTTACCAGATTCTCTCACTTCAAATTGGTCCACTAACTTTTCAAAAACGCAAATTAATATTTTATTTTTCTATAAAATCTCAGGTATCCTCTCCTCTCGGGTTGCTTCCTTCGACTGAGAGAAATATATGTAGTTGACGGCAACAAGTTATTCATTTGTAAATATGTACATATTCATTTGGTTTATTGTTTTTTCTTAGATGAGGCTATAGTTACTGCAGGAAAAAAATCATCTAACGGTGCGTTTATGCTTCACGTTATCGTTATGTCCTCCTCTAAATCCGATTTTTTGATTGGCTTAGCGAAATTGTCACTACGACAATTAAAAATTTTAACCAATCAAAAAATCGGATTTGGAGGAGGACGTGACAGTGACGCGAAGCATAAACACCACTTAAGTAAGCAATCACTACGGTTTTGAAAAGCTTAATTTTTTCAGATCTTGGTCAATTTCCATCCGATTTGAATGAAATTAGTGTCCAGAGTTAATTATGGGAAATTAGAATTGAACTGCCGAACGGGAGGCTAAAATGTTGACCTGTTTCTGAGATATGCAACAAAAACACCATCAAAAATGTGTTTTTGGGAGATTAGAAAAAAATGAAGGCATATATGATAAATGTAAATGGGAAAAAAGTTGATAAATATTTTTTAGAAAAATATAAAATTAAAATACCCAAAATCGGTTTAAAACTGAGAAAGTTTTGATGGTGGTCAAAATATTACCTCTCCCACCACCACCAAGTTTAGTTGCTAAGGCCCACCAGAGTGATAATTACTAAATTACTAACAATGCGAATAAAAACTAATAAATAAAAGAGACCCAAAAAAGGAAAGCTTTAGATGAGACTAAGAAGTGCGATAAAAAGTATTTAATAAATTTCTTCTCCAGTGAAGGATACAGAATTTTAATATTTCCAGCATCAGCGCCCCATTTCATTCCCTATCATATAAATATACAATAACTATCAAATTTCAAATATGATGTAGCGAAAAATATTAAAATCATTTGTTACTTGTTCTTGTCACTAAAAGATTATGAATGCTTGCAATTATACTTAAAGTTGATACATGATACATAGGTAACATACATGAACATGTTGCTTATGTACTTTAGTCAGTTTAAAATAAAATGGGGCGCTAATGCTGGAAATATTAAAATTCTATATCCTTCACTGGAGAAGAAATTTATTAAATACTTTTTATCGCACTTCTTAGTCTCATCTAAGCTTTCCTTTTTTGGGTCTCTTTTATATTATGAACCTTTTCTTGAAAAGAGATAACACAGGGTCTTTCTTACAATGCGACGGTGTGAGGTGGTTATCGCCGATATCCACCGGACTAATTTTAAATTATTCAGGTTCAAAAATAAGTGGACCCGTATTTTTTCGTTTTCCTGAATGGGCATGTTTACGCCCTTGGCGGAATTTTCAAAAAAAATTTCGGCCAAAATTCGGATTTTTAAAAACGCTGTAACTTTTCGAATTTTAATCCGATTTCAAAAAATAAACCCATTTTTTGTTCAGAATTATATTCCTGAAAATATAAAAATTCATTTTACATTAGTTAACCCTTTAACGTGTATGATTAACGACAAGAAAATGCATTAAATCGGGGACACTATAAGTATGTTGTGGTCATGGCGCGGGAGCAGAAATTCAGGAGTTTTTAATAAAACTCGAAAAACTGAAAAATGAAAAATTTAACATTGAGTTGTATAGGGAAATATCCAAATTTTTGGGAAGAAAATTTTCAAATTTAGCATTGAGTTGGCATAGGAGAAATGCCTCAAAATTGCAACAAATTTTAGGTCGCGGAGAGAAAATGGTGAAAATCAATGACCTCCTAGAAACGACAATTGTCGTCCTTCCGCGCCATGACCACGATTTTTCAGGACGACTTTTGTCGTACTCCCGAATTAAACCATTTCTTATAAAACGACTATTGTCGTCGTTACAGTTTAAAGGGTTAAACTTGTAAATTTTGTTGAATTTAAAGGAACGAAGAATTCAATTTGCGAAATTTTTCCGATTTTCGCAATTTTCAAAAAATTGGAAAATGCTTGCATCACTTTTTACGTATTCGTGATCGGGCTGAAATTACGCGGACATGTACATACATAATTTTGAATATTCCATAAAGTTCATTTCATCATTCGAAAGGCTGGTGGCTATGTTAAAAGCATTGAGAGAATCGCAGGTTTTGGTGCAGCTCTTGCCTAATATTTCGCAAATACGCGATTTTGCACCGCATGTTCTATGACAAAGTTTTAGTTTCACTAAATTATCTGTCGATTAAGGCTATTCCGAAGGAAATCGAGATGCGACAGTAGAAGTGGTTCCCTTGTCAGAGAAAAGTAATCGACTACAAATATTTTTAAATTTTTGGTGCTTGAGTCAGCTGCAATAATTTGCCACAATAATTTAAAAGAAATCGAAAGCTATCCATGTTTTACAAAACTACATTTGGAGAAATTTTGAGTTCATGAACCCACCA